GATATTTACGGGTATTCCGCGGGTTGATGGGAGATCTACGGGTTGAACGAGACCCCGAAAATTGGAGCGTCACATTACCATTCCGTAGTCATGGTTAATTATGTTCTGAGTCATTGCATGGCTCTGCAACTTTACTGTAATGCCCTTTTCTGGTGCAAAAGGACATTCACCGTAGGTCTTCCTTCATTTTATCGCCCAAGGGTATATTAGGTCTCAAGTATGGTCATTTGTCCTTGAATTTGTGGTAATATAGAGCGCCTTTTGGATATGGGTACCATGGGAAATGCTTTGTTGCACTGGTGAAAATCCTAGTTTTTTTTTACCACAAGACCAGCACCTGCATCTTCCTTACAACTCTTGGGATCTTGAGCTTAAATAAGGTTATTCTTATTGTAGAGTGAGTTTGCTTCCACCCTTCTGAGCCCTAGCCCTCTATAGTCAACGTGGTATGAGATGTTCTAAAGCTAAATGTTTTTTGAGCATAGGGCTAGCATGATGTCAAGCTACATGATTTCTTTGTTGATGAGAGGAGCCCTTTCTTCATTGGTCAAGACATGTTCTGTCTGTGTGCTTATGTATTTATCTCTTATATTTGTGATTTCATCATTTGCCAGTTACCTGCTTTGCAGTGTTCGCCATTGTTTTAGTTGCATGTTTTTGAAGAGAAGAAATATTGCTGTCCCGGCTAATTAACATGCTTACAATTATGTTCTCATGGTTACAAACTTACAGGTAATGATATTTTTATCTCTTCTTGTGCAGAAGGGTTCCAAGGTTCCGACGTCCCATCCGGTACAGGCCATACTGAGGAGGATCCTGCTTGACTTGTGGCCATCCTAACGATCTTGTTTGGCTGCTGGCCTCATTGATGAAAGAAGCATGTGCCATGTTGACTTATAGGCTTACAGTATTTATCTGTATCTCAGTTATCTGGAGGGCCATTTGCTTAAGAGTTAAAGACTTTGTACCGTTTTACTTGCCGGAAAAAGGCCTACTTAGTACCATCATCTGCATACCCAAAAAGCTTGACTTTGTTTTATTTCCTTTTTTAATCATTTTTTTTTTGTTTGGACAATCTGTAGCTTGCAAGACTGATGGATTTATGTGTTTTAGTTGATGCATTTGTTACTTGTTCTGGCAAAAAATAGAAAATGGGATATAAATAGGAATTTGTTGTCAAAATTATCGGGTTTTTATCGTGTATAGTTTGACCTAGATTCCATCCTTTCTCACACTGCCTTCCCTGGTGAACAGGCTGTTGTAGTAATGTAGAATTTCTACTAAATCTATTTGTGAGCTTCTTGTGAGTGAGATTATTGAAAACAACTTGCACGAAGGTAGCTGGGGATTGTATCTAGAAAGGTAAGGTCCTCCAGAAAAATGAGGGATTCCTGTGGCTTACCAGCTATGATAGACTGTGGACCAAAAGCCGTTAGACAGATGGCTTTAATTGAATATGAAATATAGTCAGTAGAAGGATTAGGTTTCCTTCCGTCTCATCAAAATTAACCTCTAAAATTGGAAGAAAAAGTATATGAAAAGTCAGTTATGTGTGTTTAAATGCATATTATTTATCTTTATATTCTTAGTATATGTATTTATTTTATTTGTTTATTATATTTTATATACACATCAATTTAATATATAGATATAATGGTAAATGTTGCATCTATTTTTTTTTTTATTCTTCTATTTTTTTCATCCATACCAAACACACACAAAAAGAGAGAGAGAGAAAATGCTTCCTATCATAAAAGAGTAAAAAATATATCACTTGTATTTTTTATTCTTTTATTTTTCCATTCACTCTACAATTCCAGTGTGTGTGGGAGAATTAGGCAAAACTCAAGAAAATCATAAGTGTGGAATTAGATCAATCCATAAAATCATTATGAATGATTGAATTGAACTCAACTAATTTTTTTTTTCTGCTTGAAATCTGATTATAAAGTAAAGGAGACTGTAAGGAAAAGAAAAAAAAGAAGATAAATAAACTAACCAAGTATCCTAGGGGTGTGTCCTCCAGAATTCTGGTTTCCACAGTCTGAAATATCTCTTGTGCAGAGTTCACCCCTGAATTTCATTCGCCTGCCCATTAATATCTATGTGCGGCGGTGTTGGGATTTCCTATATGTTTGTCTGATGCTCCATTCATATCTATGTCTGTAAGAGTTTTTTTTTTCTTTGTAACATTCGGGTGCAATGTCTGTCAAAGTCCGACACGACACGATACGATTAATTGACATAAATTAATAAAAATTAAGCGGATTTGCGTGAGACTTTAACGGGTTCGGGTGATAAATGAGTTGACCTATCAGACACGTTTAATAAACAGGTCGTATTCGGATAAATCCTGTCAACCCGTTTATCTGTTTAGATAAAATTGACGAGCCCGAATCTGACTGGGTCAGACACAATAAATCAAGCAAGCACAAATCAGTTAAAAGGCAATCGAGACTCACTTATTCAATCCGACCCAGTCCAAGATCCAAAGAACCCGAGAAGATAGAAGCATGTGGGAGAAAGAATATCGGGATACGCACTCATGGAGATTAAATCCTACCTTAATTGTACTTACCAAAAGAGTAGTATCCTCTCCCTCACGCCACCGCCTTACCAAACCTATATATTGTAGTAAGCTCTCTTCACAAGGAGAGACACCTTGAGACCTCGACATACCTTGACATCAACACACCTCTACATCTGTACATCTTGGCATCCCTCTATACTTCTAGTTTCTCCCAAAGTGTACTCTCCCCCATTATTTTATTCATTAATAAAGACTTCTAGTCACCGTTGTCGTTTTTCGAGAATGGAGTAAGTCATCTAAACCAAATAATTATATATCTGCATATTTACCCTTATTTATTGTTTTGTTATTGATTATCTTATTTACTACTCATTAATTGCATCTCTTCATATATTCGACTGTTGATTTTACACGAGACTAATTTGTGCATCATTAAAAATTAGTATAATAGTAAATTAATAATTATTTAAAAAAATTAGGCAATTTTTTTTTAGTGACAACCACAAAATATATATATATATATATTATTTTTAGTGATAGCCACATAATATTTTTTTTTAATTTAGTGATAGCCACAAAAAAATATACTAATAAACTAATTATAAATTAAAACTATACGGGTTAAATGTGTTGTATCGTGTTACATTTTTATTAAACGGCTCGTATTCGTGTTGAGGTTTTTAACATGTTTATTAAACGGGTCGTGTATGAGTTTACATATTTTTCACCCGTCAACCATTTAACCCGACACGTAACCGTTTAACACGTCATATTTAACACCACATGGGAAATGAGCTTGAATTTTTTTTTTTTTTAGATTTTCAAATCTCCAATTTCAATTATTTTTGGGTTGGTAAATTCTTATGGTATTAGTTAATGTCAATGACTTTTAAATATTTTCTTTCCCACCAAAAATAAAAATAAATAAATAAAAAGAAATATCCCCCTTTTTTCTAGTTCTCAATTTGTATTAAGTTTCTTTCTTCTATTTGTGCTAATTTATATTATGTTTTAGTAAACTATATATATGCCCCTTTATGCCAATGAAGCTCTTGAATTTTTATTTTATTTTTGTCAATAAAATCTCTAATTATGTTAATCAAATCCTTCTATCTGTCTCCATTAGAATTGACACAGTTAAAAAGTTCAGGACTTAATTAACATAAAAAAAATTAGGAACTTAATTAACATAAGGGTCATAATTTGAGCATCACATACATAATTTATTCCAACTATTTATGTTAAATGAGGGATAGACTTCGCCACTTTCTATTAGAAAATTTAACTAAGATAGATAGAAGGGTTCAATGGAAATAATTCGAGAGTTAAGAGACTCAATTGATATAAAAAATTTTATAAACTTAATTAACACAACATCCTAATTTAAGGGTCATTTATATAATTTACTCTTTTTTTTTTGGTGGGGCTATTCTTAGTCACAAATTTTCATTCCCACCCCATTTAATTTTTCATTATCAAACTACTAAGTTCACCTCATTAGTAACTAAGTTCACCTTATTAGTAATTAAATTCACCCCATTAATAATTAAGTTCACCGCATACTACATACATTTTATTAATAGTTAAGTTTATTCATTCTATGTACACCCTTTAAAGAAAGAATAAATCATAAAAAAAATAATGAAAGAAAACAATTACTTTGAACGCATAAATATATTTATCAAATAAAAAAAAGAACCAAACAAAATTGAAACAAGAAAAAAAATAGTCAAAAACGCAACAAGTAAAAAAACAAGTATACTGAAACAAGAAAAAAGAAAAGAACAAAAAAAGAAAATAACGAAACAAGAATAGATCGAAATAAGGAAAAAAACATAAAGAAATAAGCAAACCAAACAACAAAGCAAAAAAGAAACACCAAACAAAGATTAAATGAACAAGTAAAACTACAAGACGCAAAACCGAATATGAAAAAAAAAATAAGCATCAAGCACAGACATAAAATTGAATAAGAAAAAAATAGTAAGTATAGATGCAAAATCCTAACAAGATAAAAAAAGAACAAATGATCTAAAAACATACATATATACACACACACATAAATTTTAAATAAAAAATTATTAAACTTGACAGAGATATCAAAACATACCGAAAATAATGAAAATTTATATAACAAACATGAAATCAAACACAAAATTAAATTGAGGAGTAATACTAATATGTATCTTATTGAAAAATCATATTGAAAAAATGATTTTGTGAGTGTATCAGATAAGATAAAGAATGAAATCGACAAAATATAAAGTAAGTTTATTTATTAAAAAGAGTATATGCAGCACAGGGTAAGATTAGTTACTAATTGGGCAAGTATAAAAAGAGTGGGTTTAATAGTTTGATAATGAAAAATTAAATAAGGCGAAAATAAAAATTTGTGAGGTGGAAAAATTTATTGTGTATATTAAGTTTTTTAGTATTTTGGTTTATATTAAGTTTCGGCCCCTTCGAAAAATGCCACTCTCTCTCTCTATGGTTAGCAAGTAGAAACCCTCGTACACTCATTTTGTGGTCGTTTGGGGTTCAATTTTTTGGGGTTTAAGGTATGGCTTCGGATCAAGAAACTGATGACTCGTCCAACTCTTCGTCCTTGTAAGTGCTCTCTTCTTTCTAATTCCCTTCCCCCATTTAGTTGCCATCAGAATTCTAAGTTCTCTGTTGTTTAATTTTTCCCACTTTCTTTTAGCAGTTAAACGAATTTAAATCCGTTGATTAATTGCAAATGGTTGCGAAAACATGAACCAATTTCAGGCCGAAGAACACCTATAAGGATCCAGATGATGGGCGCCAGCGGTTCTTACTTGAATTGGAATTCGTCCAGTGCCTCTCTAATCCCACCTACATCCACTGTATGTTATCGCTCACATTTTTATTTCTCAGTGTGCTTGTGTAGGTAGAGCTAGTAAGCTGAAGTTTTATAAGAATCACTGGATTGGAATTATTTTGGGGGTATATTGGCCTCCAGTTGGGCAGCAGAAGCCAAACAATGAATTGGGTAATAGGAAACGGAAGTTGGGTATTCAATCTCTAGTTTTTACATGCTTAAAATTTTATATAAGTTTGTTAGTGTAAAGAAATTTATTGCCTTAAGTAACTAAATTAGCTCTGCAGTACTTACACACCTTGCTAGAGGTGCATTCTTTCAGTTCAATGAAAAGCGGTCAAATGCATCCCACCTACATCCACTGTATGTTATTGCTCACATTTTTATTTATCTCAGTGGGAGTGTGTAGGTAGAGCTAGTAAACTCAGGTTTTGTAAGAATCACTGGATTGGAATTGTTTTGAGGGACTATTGGCCTCCAGTTGGGCAGTAGAAGCCAAAAAATGAATTGGGTAATAGGAAACAGCAGTTGGGTATTCAATCTCTAGTCTTTACATGCATAAAAATTTTATACTAGTTTGTTATTATAAATAAATTTACTGCCTCGGGTAACTAAGTTGGCTCTGCAGTTCTTACACACCTTGCTAGAGGTTCATTCTTTCTGTTCAATGGGAAGAGGTCAAATGGTTTATGAAAAACTGTAGTTTGTATTGTATCTGGCATAGGATATGCTCTGTATAATAAGTGCATGAATTTCTGGTGCAGATTTGGCGCAGAATCGTTATTTTGAGGATGAAGCTTTCATTGGCTACCTAAAGTACCTTCAATATTGGCAACGGCCAGAGTACATAAAATATATAATGTGAGCTTATTTTCCCAAGTGTCTTGATCATCTAGTGGTGTTGTTGATCTCATTTGTTAAACTTAGTTCACAGCATATACTTTTTAATGGCTTATTATACAAGCCTACGGACCTTGTCTCGGTGGTCTTTTACTTAAAGCACATATACTCATTTACCGGGTGATTATAGGTATCCACATTGCCTCTTCTTTCTTGAGCTTCTCCAAAATGCAAACTTCCGCAATGCAATGGCGCATCCGGGCAACAAGGTTACATTCTAAGTTTTTTTTTCTCTGCACCATTTTATATGTTTTAACCAAGGGATAGTCTTTTTGAGTTTCTCTATAGGGGCTTCAGGCCTGCCCAACAAATAATTTTGGTTTACTTCTATTATGATGAATAAAAAAAAGTGACCTGTTTGTAGCCTTATTTTCTTTCTAGAACCTAGTGGGGTTCATTGGCATGATTATATTAGAAGCTACATGTATTTTCCTCTTGAATGTATTCTTCTGTATTAGTGCATAACATATTCGTTGAGTGTTTTACATGCATATTAATGCACTTTTGCGGAAAATATTCTTTTAAGCAGTATGACTGATGTTGATTTCTATTGATGATTACCTTAGCTTCTGCCTTCATGCCTATGCATATTGCCTAACACATCTGCTTTTTTGTTATTGCAAAACGCTGATCAAACCATCTGATTAGCATCATTTGAGGGGTTTCACAGTGTACTGTTAGTTGGAAGCATGAATAGCTGGACTGAAGTAATTTTAAGTTTCTTCATGGCCATCATATGAGTGATTTAGCATCACTTAATAACACTAGTTCTCTGATTCAGTTTCGCATGGGCTCACATTGCATTATATGCAAGGATCAAAATGTCGTGTCGACACGTCCGAAACGTCCGAAACGTTTCGGAATTTCAACACTCCGAAACGAAACAGTAGTTGAATTACAAAATTCCAGTGTTTCGGTCGAAACGGTACTGTTTCGGACCGTTTCAGTCAAAACGGCATTGTTTCGATCGAAACGGCATTGTTTCGAACCGTTTCGACAAAACAGTGATATATTCGGTTCATTATGAATAATTACATTTAATACCCATTATAATTACATTTAATACCCACTGTAATTACATTTAATACTCACTATAATTATATTTAATATCCCACTATAATTACATTTAATTCCCACTGCTCTTCTGTCTTTTATAATTTTTTTGTTATAAGAATAAATAATTACACTTAATACCCTACTGTAATTATATTTAATACTCATTATAATTATATTTAATACATACTGTAATTATATTTAATACCTCACTGCTGTGCAAGTTTTTTGCTTTTTTTTTTTGTTATAAGTATTAACAATTACATTTAATACCCTAATGTAATTATATTTAATACCTACTGTAATTACATTTAATACCCACTGTAATTACATTTAATTTTTAAGTATACATAAGTATCATTAATTTAATTTGATACCCTTAATTATTAGTATTATAATAAAATAGTATTATTAATTGGATTATATTACCGTAATAATATGATTTGGAGTAACTATTGTCATCATATTTATGTCACATATGGAGTTTCTCTAAGTAGCTACCCAGAGCCTACACCGATGTATGAGCCTGCTCGACACTCCACAGGGGAATGGATGTAACCATGTAAGTATGTACTCATTAGCATTTCATGTGTATTATAAGACCTTAATATTATGTAAAAATGTGTTTATTTCATAAAAATTAAGTGTTTGAAACTAATTTAAGTGACTTTCGCCTCAAATCAAGCCTTTTTTTCCCTCAAATTTAAATTTATTCTTGTATAAATTGATGTTAACCTAATAAATATGTTGAATTAATAAATTATTTAGCATATCTTTATAAATTAATGGATTGCATTTGTGTTTCTATGCGTTTCCATATTTTTTCTGCGTTTTCATTGCGTTTCCGAAATGTTTCCGAAACGTTTCTATTTTTGAGTTGACCGAAACGGTACTTCGAAACGAAATTTTGATCCTTGATTATATGTTTGTGGAGCTTTTAGGAATTGGCGCACAGGCAGCAGTTTTATTTTTGGAAGAACTATAGGAACAATCGGTTGAAGCATATTTTACCCAGGCCCCTCCCAGAACCTGTCGCCGCACCCCCAGCTTCTGCCCCACCTCCACAGCCTGGGCTCTCTACATCCGTTACTGTTCCTGCTACTTCTGCTTCTATTCCTGTTCCTGCTGCTGCTCCAGCCCTCTCTCCAATGCAGTTTGCCATGGCCCCTGGATCTGCTCTTGCAAAAAATGACCCAAGGAGCAGTGGCGCTGATCGAAGAAAGAGAAAGTACTTTGTTAAATCTTCTTCCTTCTCACCTATTAACGCAATGCAAGACAACTCATGATATAGCTCTTTTTGTTTTTTGACAGAAAAGATGCATGATTTGGATTTTCATCTATGAGACACTTTAAGATGGATGGAATAACTTAGTCAAGGTAATATCTATTTTCTTCCACTGTTTGCCTATGAGGTGGATGTGGGAGTAGCTTTTAATTTCATATTCATTGATTTTAAGCTTGTAGCCATTATTGCTTTATTATGAGATGGTAAAATCGAAGTTCAGTTGTCGTACAATATCTGCATTTTCACGTTTTCTCTTGGTCTCCTCTTCTGCATTTCATTTATACATTCGGAAACTAAAACAGTGAGGGTTCTGTTAGTCTATAGAATGATTGTTAGAATAAGGTAATGGGACTTTTTTATGTCTATGATTATTGAAGTTTCCCAAGAGTTCATGAAGATCTGCGCTGAGATAGTAACATGGGACTTCAGAGTTCATTTCTCATGCCATTTCATTCGCATCTTGTTTCATTCCGAAGTAGTGTGTACCAAATGTAATGCAAGAAAGTTTCAGAGCCCATAATATGTTGTTGATGTAAGTATGTAATCTTTGAAGAGAATGTTTGTGTTCATATACGTAATGATGATACCTGCTTCTCCTTAACACCTTGCATATGAGATCTTTCTAGAGTTGTTCTTTTGAGTAAATACAAAAAACAACTGATCCTTTTGTGGATTTCAAATTTTCCCCACCTGATTCTCAAAGACAGAAGCATAGTAACAATCTGTAATCATTAGGAAATTGGGATTTTTTCCGTATAATGAAGGCAACCAGTGCTACCCAGCTTTGTTCATGTGGATATGATGGATCTCCTATCTCGGCTGCCAAGCAAATACCTTCCCACAAGACCTCCTCACCAACCCATGGGGTTAAGCACGCAGACCCACATATGCATGTAGACACAAACTGTAGGTTTTACCAGAGCTAAAATAACCATTACTCAGGTTGATTTTTGTTAAGGATGGTGCTAGGAGGGTTGAGTGGGGACCTAACATTTGGTTTTATATGCACAAAGATGTCCTCTGATCTGAATACATAACCTTAGGGTCTGCCAATGCTGTGCTATAAAATCTCAGAGGGTCATGTAATTCCCCCTTGGATCGATTATATGATTTTGTTAATTCATTAGTTGATGAACAGTGGTAGGGAGTAAAAAACCGCAACCCCAGTTTCAACATGTAATATGGTCCCCAGGACCCATTTTACCCTTAGATTTCTCTGCAGTCAGACAATCCATGGTTTTAAGTTTTTACCACTCGAATTGTTGCATGTAACATCCAATCTCATTTCTCTTCTGGTCTTCTCAGAAATAGGACTTGTAATAAGTTGCTAGTGGCTTGTCTGCACCAGCCACAAGTCTGCCTGGCATGTGTGTTGACAACATCTATGATTGACTTGTCCTTTTGCCACTCGTGTAAGCACTTTCAGAGCTGTCATGAGTTTGTTCAAAAGAGCAGTTAGCCGTGTAGCTGCACCTTGGATCCTCAATATGTTCATTCTAAAATTTATAAAACTTTGTTGTTCTTTGGGAGTGGATTATTCTCAGTGTTTTTTAATGTTTTTTTTGCTGGCTCTATATGGTTTCTGAGCCAGATCATCCAATTGAGAACTATCTTCGTGGGGGTAAATTATAATTACACCTTTATAAGCCTGCTTTTGGCTTTGCCATTACTCGTTAACGTATAGTGTAAGGAGGCAGAAAACAGGACCATTTATTTTTTGTGTTATAATTCTTTTATGAATGGTGTTGTTTTTTTTAGCAATTTTGTCCTGCAAAGACTAATTTGCTAAATATGGTGGTGTGTCCATTACCTGCAATGGCGTTCGCATATTATGATCAAACAATCCAACAGTGCAAGTTATTTTGCAGGTTAATGTGCCTTACCATCTCTGCTTTGAACCTGTTACTCATTAGCAGCGTCCTTCATGATCACCACAAAGTCATCCGAACTAAACCCATGATGATGTTAATCGCTCATGCTTCCTGAGAATGGGTATCAGAATTTTGACATATACAAGCATGAAGTAAAAGTACATATACATTGTCTGTTTTCTCACTAAATTTACGGGAAGATATTGATACTTACAATTGTTTCATCTTTTAAATTCATGAAAGGATATAATTTTAGAGGAGGGCGATGCGTAGCTCTCTAAAATTCTGGATATTTCCGATATCACCCCTGTACATTCATACCTGAGTAGACCATGGTAATGATTAATTTTATCTTTGATTTGGATTACTTACATCTTTATATTTTAGACGTCTTACCACGTGTTATATAACAAGTACTTGAATTTATTTCTGGTATGCGTGACGGTTTGTATCTTATCTGATTGGTATCGCGTCGGCTTTGTGCAGTAGGTTTGTATTGACTGATTTATTGACCGGATTTAACTTGTTTATGTATTTATTACCAGCTATATATATATATAGCATGGACTTTGTTCGCTGATCCTGCCCCTTCATCCTTGCCAAAAGGCAAATTAAAGGTAATTGTTTATTTCTTATGTTTCTGAATAAATGTTTTAAGACGCTGCTAAACGTGTAATTCGTGATACGGATCGGTGCGCCGCGTATTGACTCGTTAGAATAGAGGGAAGATAAGAGTGACGTGGAGATAAAGGTCCCATACACCAGTGCCACTGCCACGTGGAACATGTTGATTCAACATTCATGGGGCTGCTTCGTCTTGGACCGTAAATATAAATAATGTTATCGAGACTAAAACATTAATCTAATTTATGAATTAAATAATGTGTAAGTGATAAAATTAAAATAAATTTTTATTAACAATTATACTCCTGGTAGTACTATTAAATTATTTTACTGTCATATTATTAAGTCGAGTAACGTTATTAAAATTTATATGATTTTTTACTGTAAAGTGTTTAAATTTTTATTCTATTTTTATTGGAATTCGGATATTAATTTTATAATATGTTAAATAATAGAAGAGTTGTTGAAGATAAACACATTCACAAGGCCCAACGATCTAGATGTGACCATTAACGTGGTGGAATGGAACCCTGTTTAAAATTTAAATGCACACCTAAAATAACAGGTGAGTTTATATTATTAAAATGTTTTTGCCTTATACACGCCCTCAAATATGGATGGTGTCTCAAAGTTACCCCTGGATTTTCTTCAAATTTCCTTTCCTAAGGCCTCCGTTGTTGACCTTCCTTGTCAATGTTGCTTTGTTTTTTTTGAGGAAGAAGGGAGGATGGAGAACTGGACTTGAATTCTTGATCTAAAAAAAATAAAATTTTTACAAGATAAAGAGTACTATTGGACTAAAGACTCATTGATCAATATTGTCTAAGCATTAAACTTAAGCGTGAATAGTCTAACACACGATTCATAAAATTCAACAAAAAATTAATCATACCATTAATAATTTTAGATTTATTATTAATTAATTTGGTGAAGTAGTAAATTCATTAGATTTACTAATAAATAGGTAGTAATGCTAGACTGATCAAATTTGGAACTCAAATGACATGACAGTTGATTTGAACTTTTTTTATTAGTGTTATGTCATTTGGACCCTAATAAAAACTTAAAAGAAAAAATTGTGAAAAAGTACCCCTTTTCATACTTATTTGTGTAAAAGTACTTCGATATAAAATATATGTGTATAAGTATCTTTATGTGTAAATATTTGATGAAGAGGTATTCTTTTCTTGAATTATAATTTTTTCTCTTACTAAATTATTCTTTTCCTTTATTAATGGGAGACAAATATGACAATTATATAGGAATTCAGTTTTCTAATTTTATGGTATATCTTTTTTTAATTTTAAATTACCTATTCATCTATAATTGAACAATCATTTATTAAAACATTCATTTCATATTTATTCTTCTATCATTCAAACTGAAAATATCTGTCAATGACACCCTCCCGTCAATCAATGTTATTATACTATAAACCAAAATATTACAGTGACACCTTCTAATAACAACGGTACCAGTAATAATACACTGTTACCATCCAAAATTTACACTGTTATCATAAAAAAAGTCACACTACATTTATATGATTTTTTTTATTTATGTCTTCTCTACATTTATATACTTTTTTTTAGTTTTTTTTATAAATCATAATGAGCAATATATATTATCACCTTATATAATACTATTGATTGTTACGAGTGTTTTTTTTTTCATGAATATTTTAGATTTAAATTTAGTACAATAGAACATGTCACATTGACACAGTGATACACAATAATGTCACAATGCTATAAGTCAATGTGACACTGCTACAAACTAATGTCACACTGATATAAGTCAATGTCACACTAGAAAGGGTGTCAGTAATGTTTTTGATAATAGAGAGAGTATTCTTAAAAATATAATAAACTAGAAGGGATGTGGTTAAAATTTTTCTAAAAAATTATTACACCTCTTGAACATTGCCTCCATTGTCTGCAAACCTTAAAAAAGATGAATCCTCTCAGAACCCTCTTTTTTCATGTACAAATTCATGGTGGTTTCTATAATCCACAACCCTCCTTTGCGATCCACCTCAACATCGAGAATGTTCGGAACCTTGTGCTTCAAGTCCTTAGAGAGTTTTGCTATCTCGATGAATCCTCTTGATCGGAAACAAAACGATTTGGACTTCGTTGATACTTTGATCGAGAGTTGATTTTTCAATAAGAAAAAATCGTGTGGATCCATTAGAATTAGAATGTTTTGAAAAGAATGGAGGTTTTATGGAAGTTTTTTTATCAATCTTGGAATAATGGAGGTTTCGGCGATATTGAAGGAGTTTTATGGGTAACAGTTGATATCTTTGATATTTCAGTTGTAGAGGCAAAAATATAGGAATTGGTTTCTATTTTACTAAAAGGGTATTTAAAAGATTTGTTAGGGATTGTGTAATTTTTGACCAATATTTTTAAAAGTAGTATTTTTTGCCCTATAATTTCTAAAAAAAGCACTGACCCCCTTAAAACTTAACTGAAAATAATCAACTGCCATATCATTTGGGCTCTAAATTTGGTCAGTGAAGCATTATTCATAAATAGGTTAATGTGAAAGAGTAATGTTATACAACTCAAAAAATTATAATTCAAATGTGAGTTTTATCAATTTTTTTAGTGGGATTTACTTATTTAATACTATTGGATTGTAATTTTTGAATTTTATTTAAATTGTGTAGATTTTTCTAATATGAACTACCTTAACAAAACATGCACTCGACATAATATAAACATGATTATATATGATTGATAATAAATAGAATATCAATTAAACGAATTTTAAAACGATTCAACATAGACACAACATATTCTATTTGCCCTATTACTTAAAGTACATCAATAAGTTCCTTGTCGAGACGTTGACCTCTTTTTGAAGGTTTTTTTGCTGAAACTTCGGAATTTTTGTCTTCTTATAAAACGTAAAACATGGTAGGAGAATTTACATTGAAACCTAAAAATATTAAAAAAAAATGTCATATTTTTCTTTATTTTTCCACCTAAATCTAAAACGAGAAGGGTTTTATTGTTAAGGGGTCTTTCTGTAATTTGACGTAAATAATTCCACCGGTTGTCACCTGGCCCAGCTCTTTTTCCAATTCGGTTTGCTTCCCAAATTGTCTTACCTATCGTTTTCTTCACTTCCCTTATTCTCTCTCTCTCTCTCTCTCTCTCTCTCTCATGTGGTCATCTAACCAGCACCCATCCTAGTCATACCACATTAACCCTCTCCCTCTCCCTATATAAACCCACATTGACGCATATATTGTCGTATGCCTTACCATTAATTCACATTCTGTACTTTGATCTTATTCATAGTCTCTCAGCAAACTGTTTCATATCTTTTGTTCCTTGGACTGTTGATCCATTTTTCTTTCTGGGAATTCTTTGTTTCGGTGATATATACACAGCCATGAACGCTCTAGCCGCTACAAACCGTAACTTTCGCCATGCGGCTCGCATTCTTGGGTTGGACTCTAAGCTCGAGAAGAGTCTTTTGATCCCATTCAGAGAAATCAAGGTAAAAAAAAAAAAAAAGATCATTGATTGATGTTCATCGGTAGTTTCTATCTCTTGAAGGGTTCATTGTATTTAATGGTCTTGGGTTTTGATTAGGTGGAGTGTACAATACCCAGGGATGATGGAAGTCTGGCGTCGTACGTTGGATTTAGAGTACAACATGATAATGCTCGTGGGCCTATGAAAGGAGGGATCAGATATCATCCTGAGGTGATTTATATCTTGTTATAAATGACTCTTTTTGAATGATTTGGTTGTTTTCTAGGGTTTAAAATGTTAAACTTTTATCAAATTTTGGATCCTAAATGATGTTATAGTCATTGGAGGATAGTTAGTTAAAGTTTGTGGGACCCACTAATCTTATGATTTCGGTTGATTTGTGATTCAAATCTTGGTAAATGTTTCTAAATCTTGGTAGAAGTTTTGGTGGATGTGGATGTAGCGTTGTTTGGGTCTTTCAACTTCTTGCTTTAATTTGGGTGTCTCTGGGGGTTTCATGGAAGTAGAATGATTTTCTTGACGTTTTTAATAGGATTTTCATGGACAAATACATAGGCTAGAACAGAGAATGGCTAAGTTACACCCATTGGAAACGTGAAGTTACGGCAATTCGTCCAATCATGAAAATGAACCTCTTTGTAATAAATAGAAAATTAATTTTTAAACAAAAATGCTACATTAGTTGCCGAGAAATTATTTGTTTTATGCGGATGTCTAAATAATGCTAACAAATAGACTATTCTTGCTCGATTTTATTATTCATATTGTTCAAATCTGTAATGGACTAGATTCCATATTAGTGATAAGCTTGGTCTAGCACTCTGTAATTGTTTGGTTCTCTACAAACCATTGAACTATACTGTTTTGAAGTGCTGACAGGGATATAGTGCTAAATCTGTCAAGTTAATTGAAGCCTTAATTTGGCATCTCCTATGTGATGGATTAACGGAAACTCGTTACTAGTGCACTGCAGCACGTTAACACTCCAGATGTTATTGACCTATTACACCCTGCCTCGGTGTTAGCCTTACATCAATAGTAAACAATATGCAATGGTTGTAATATAAATCAATGAGTGGTAGGATTGAGTATATAGATCAGTTGCTTTGGGTTGTGCTTTTGTAACCGGGTTGGGCTTTTTGTATTCTTTCATGAATTGCATATCTGACTTAAAGCATCCTCTTTCTTAATCTTTCAAAGGGTACATGTTTTACACATGTTTCTGAATATGGCAGACAATCTGCTTTTATATATATATAATTTTTTAAGTAAAACATTGTTAAGTCATTTCTTTGTGAACCTTATTTTTTTTTCATACATTAATGCATGTCTCTGCCAATCTATTGTGGGTTTGTATGCCAAGTTGTTGGCAGTAAGTTTAATCTAAACTTCCTTCTTCCAATACTTGGGATGGAGTTTCACTATGAAACTCAATGGTGAAGTGAACGATTTCTGCCTTTGAATTTTTCATAGATGTTTCTTGCTCTTCTTCTACTAGGTTGAACCTGATGAAGTAAATGCTCTGGCTCAACTGATGACTTGGAAGACTGCTGTAGCAGATATTCCATATGGTGGCGCTAAGGGTGGAATTGGGTGCTCACCAAGGGACTTAAGTATGAGTGAGTTGGAACGTCTTACCCGTGTCTTCACTCAAAAGATTCATGATCTTATTGGAGTTAATACAGATGTCCCGGCTCCGGACATGGGAACCAATGCACAGGTTCAGTAATCCCTCTTGAAACATTCTTCCTTTTCGGAACTAATTGGTAAAGAAAATAAAATGGGTACTATTGAATATGAGCAGACTATGGCATGGATTCTGGATGAATACTCAAAATTTCATGGTCACTCACCAGCCATTGTGACCGGAAAGCCAATTGTGAGTACTCAAGCCAAAAATATCGTGCATGCATTCATTATTCCTATGATGATGATGTGCTTTTTAAGAAGAAATCAACCCCATCTAACTCTCTGCAATTATCTTGCTAATGTTTCATTTTTAGGATCTTGGTGGATCACTGGGTAGGGAGGCTGCAACTGGGCGTGGTGTTGTTTTTGCAACAGAGGCTTTACTTGCTGAATATGGGAAGTCAATTAAGGATTTGAAATTTGCTATTCAGGTATTCATGCCTATTTGCTGCCATCATTTAATTTCCTCAACTGTGTTAGACATTTTTATTTTTATTTTGCATCTGATGAAGAAATATAGAATCTTATAATGGAAATTTCTTTAAGGGCTTCGGAAATGTGGGATCTTGGGCAGCAAGGCTCATTCATGAGAGAGGTGGTAATGTCGTTGCAGTGAGTGACATCACTGGAGCGGTTAAGAACCCAGAAGGAATTGATATTCCAGCTTTGCTCAAGCATAAAGAAATAACAGGACACCTAAATAATTTTAGTGGTGGAGATGCGATGGATTCAAATGACCTGCTCACACATGAATGCGATGTTCTTCTCCCATGTGCTTTAGGAGGAGTTCTGAACAGGTTAACCGTCGTTCTGCCATGTAACTCATTTAAGTTCATATCAGTTGTTGCTATTATCATATCCTTTTGATTGGTTACTATTGTCTTGTGTTACTAGTCGAAATACCTTTTTTGATCAAATTTTATTTGTGTTGTTGCGGTTGAAGACCCAATAGTACAATCTGAGAACCAAAAATGATTTGGAAGGGAGGAAATTATTACACCCAACCAAAAATGATTTGTAAGGGAGAAAATTATTGCACTTATAACACAGCCAATCTAATCAACGAATGGAATTTTAATTAAAATCAATGTTAGAGTTCATGTTTTAGTCAATGCATGGTACAAGGTGCCCTTTATTGAATCCTTCCACTGTATCTTATCAAAGAAAAGGAACCTGTGCTGTCAATAGTCTTGTGATAAGGTTCGGCGACAATCTTTCTTTGAGCCTGTCTTTTATTTGAAATACACCTACGGGTATGATTTATTAAGGGAGTATTTGGAGATCCCATGAATCAAGTACTTTCTACTGCTCTTTTTTCTCTTAAAGAATTTGAGGGAAAAATTCTAGACTTGATCTTTATATGGTGCCATTGGGAAACATGAATGTCATTATTCGAAAAACTGGAGTGATCCAAAGAGTTCGTAATATAAAATTATTGTGATGCCATATTCTTTTTTCTGAAGAGTAAAGAATCTTACTTATTGATGGAATAGAGTTGCTCTCCTATTTCCACAAGAAAACAAGTTAAACTGAAAAATAAGTGGAATAATTTCCTTTTAAAGGACTTGTCCAAATTTTCTTTAGTTTTGTTGGTTGGGAAATAGCATTATATATATATCTATCTTACTATTGTTGCGTGGTAGATTTTAAAAGATCAAATGCCTGGAGTGATCCTCAATTCCCCTTGATATCTGGTTGTCCCATTCGGACAACAACAACTCGTCCAATATAGAATTTGAAATTATCTAGATTGATCTCCCAGAATATACATGCACAGAGAATGGATAAGCATATTAGAATCTCTTGAAATGATTGATTTTTTTAGGGTAGGTTTTGTTATTAATGGTTCCATTTTTTTTTCAAAAATAAATAACCAATACAAATGAAAGGCTGCATAACTAGTATTTTGGAACATGCAAATCTGTCCCAAGTAAAATGAAGAAAATATTAGTATGTCTTGAACATCTAATTTGGTATAATCCTAACTAATTTTGCCTTTTTACATTGTAATCTCTTCTGAAGAGAAAATGCTGGAAATGTCAAAGCCAAGTTCATCATAGAAGCGGCAAATCATCCAACTGATCCAGAAGCAGATGAGGTAATGTTGCCTTCCATGTTTCTGAACTTCTCTTAGGGAGCATTCATCCTTTATAACATAAATTATTATTGCTGCAGATCCTATCCAAGAAAGGAGTGGTAATTCTCCCCGACATTTATGCAAATGCTGGAGGTGTGACTGTCAGCTATTTTGAGTGGGTTCAGGTAACAAAATAGAGCAAAAGACCATGTCCCTTCTCTGTTACTGCTGTACTAGCAAAAAGTAGGTGAAGTTATTGCAGTTATCACTACAAAAAGTATGCTTAGAATAGAAGATTTGAACTTGAAACGAATATTGCCTCCTCAGTGTTAACCTGACACAAATTTGATAATATTGTTCATAATATGTTTTCATATAATATATATCATTTAATTTCCTTGAAAGTGAACTTTTTTATCTATAGATTTAGTGGTGTCAATTTCATGCATGCCTGCACATCAATATGTGTCGCTGTCAGTGGGTATGAGATAAAAATATTCAGAATTTTGAGATTTTTCTTTGCACCCGGATCATTTTGCTTATGGCAGCCATGATGATGTATGACTAATCTTTATTCTTCCAGAATATTCAAGGTTTCATGTGGGATGAAGAGAAGGTGAATCAGGAACTAAAAAGATACATGACGAGAGCTTTCCATAACATCAAGAACATGTGTCAATCACATGACTGCAACCTTCGGATGGGTGCCTTCACCTTGGGTGTGAATCGAGTTGCACGTGCCACCATATTAAGGGGCTGGGAAGCATAAATAACTTCCATTCTATTTTTTTCTGTTGCTTTCTTCTTCAAGATATTGTTGTGTTAGTCCCAGGCCATTTATACCACCCTATTAAGGGGTTGAGAAGCATAACTTCTTTCTTTTGTGCAACAGACACCTTGATATTCTTCCAACCCCTCAATGGGCGATCCGAAAGGTTTCAATTGTGCAACAGACACTTGTTCTTCTTGTTATAGAAAATTCAAAATGTTCAATCTTGTCCATTTATGCTTCTGTCATGAAATGTCACATAGGTGAATTGGTGTATCTGTTGGAGGTATGTGATGTTGCTGGAAAACTGAATAAAATTCCACTGTTGTGTTTTAAGACAGTTACTGGTTTTTGAGATTCCGTTCGACTTGTATGCTAATTGTCACAAATTAGTCTGCAATAATTGACCTCTGTGCCACAGCCACACTTAAAATTATTCCAGTTAAATTTAAAGCAGAGGAAAAAAAACCTGTAATGGAAGGAGACAAAGGACTCATTTGAATACTCTCTACTCTGTTTTTTAGGGAATGTGAGTAGGGCCTTGGTAGATTGAAGTTGCCAGCCCCAGTATGTAATAGCCAGCATACAACATTTGGAACCTTTGACAGAGATGATAGTCTCTTTTTTGAACCAGACAGAGAGGATAGTCTTTCTTTGAACCAGACAGAGATGATATGTTCTGTACTCGGTGGATTTAGTGTGGTTCCCTAGTTTTTCCTGCTCTTTGGGATTTTCTACGTACATCTGTTTGTTCGTGATGATGTAAAAAACTCGAAAGCGTGAGACAATTGCTTGAACTAAGGCTTAGGAACAGTGATTTATGAGTATGAACAGTGTATGAGAGATTGATGCTTGGCTGAAGGAAATGTAGAACAGGGGTAAGAGCTAGAGAATGAGAGAGAACACACAAACTATAGTGATTCACCAGCTGAAGAGCTCGAGTTGTTTACTCTAATGGAGTCTTTTGCTCTTTGAGAGGTTTTCTATTGCTTGGGGAAGAAGATAGAGTTTCAATTGCAGAGATTATAATTGGTGTATGTTGTATGAGGGAATGCCTCTTGAATTTATACCTCACAGGTGGAGTGGTCTTCACGTCATCATCACATGACTCCCAAGTTTGTTAAAATTTCGTTGAAGGAATATTGACTCGTTAAAGGCTACACTCCCTAGGTGTAACTTGACCTTATGATCTCTTATTCTTTTAATCAGCTTGTGAATAAAGGAGTTCAATCCAAACACTTAACCTGAGCTAGAAATACTGACTTTCCTCGTGTAACGCTATGGATGACGTGATCATCATTGCTTAAGGTCGTAAATGGACAACCTGATTATTGACTTTTGCTGCAAGTGAGATATGGAGATATCCTTCTATTTATTTTCGATATTATTTTGGGTATCATCATCTGCTATGTGTGGGTTCTCTGCAATTATTTTCTTGTTATGTTGTTATAGCATGTCGGATTTGGATTAGAGAAATTAATTCCTAACAGTTGCATGTTCCCTTTGTATGGGGGATTAGAAGCAGATGCAGATGAAAACAGGTTACCCATGCCTCAGTGACAAAAACAGTGTACAGAAGATAAGCTTATTTATTCCATGGCATGGGCTTCTTCCCTACTTATCCTCCACATTTTAACCAAGAAGAAATGGTGAAGAAAGAGATCAGGGAAGAGTGATCTGCTTTAGAACAGCCATGGTTTCTATTCCCATTACTTCCTCAATGCAGATAGCTTTCAGCTCTCAACACGCCACCAAAAGGCCACAGCCTCAAGCCAGACAGGCACGCTCGTCGGGAACAATGCCGGCGACCCATGTCGTCACTCTTAATGTTAAACAACAAGAGAGAGCCGAGATGCTAGTTGATAAATCAAATGATACCAAGGATGAAGTCAAGAGAGATGAGATGGAAGGTTCTGTTCTGGGGTTTGTCGATGAGAGATGGAAAAAGGGCACTTGGGATCTAAATATGTTCGTGAAAGATGGCAAAATGGATTGGGATGGTGTGATTGTTGCAGGTAAGAGGTTTTTTTCCTACCAATAATCTTTTTGAGATTCGTGTCGAAAATTAATTATTCTAGCTCATTAATACCTTGTCAAATTCATATCATCTTAACGTATCTTATCAAAAGCTGTCACCGGGTTCTATCATTATCTTAAACACTTATCCATCCATAACTATTCTGTATGTGTTTCATCTGCTAATCTTGTAGAAGCAAGGAGAAGAAAGTTTCTTGAACTGCATCCAGAAACAGCAGCAAACCAAGCTCCAGTGCTCTTTAGAACCTCCATCATACCCTGGTGGGCATGGGTCATGCACTCCCACCTCCCTGAGGCTGAGCTACTCAACGGTTAAAAACTCAAGCCCATGTCTTCTTCCTCTCTCTCTCTCTCTCTCTCCCCAACATATATTCTGACCAAAAGCATATCTTGCAGGTCGAGCTGCCATGGTTGGGTTCTTCATGGCATACTCTGTAGACGCTCTGACACAACTTGATGTGGTTGGCCAAACCGGCAATTTCATATGCAAGTTTGGCCTCTTGGTTACAGTCATTGGTGTATTGCTTTTCAGGCGAACTCAAGATTTTGAGAATCTGCAGAAGGTGGCTGATGCGGCCACATTCTATGATAAGCAGTGGAAAGCATCATGGCAAAATGAAGATGCCACCACTGGTGGCACGCCTAAGTAAAGAATGGGGTGGAGTATTTTTTTTTTTCATTTTTTGGGTTTTTTTGGTGAGCAATGAAATGATGTAACTTTACATTCTAGGGTTAATCAAAGCTTGTTGTCATTGGCTTGATCTTCAATTTTAAGGAGGGATATGTAATCATGGGTTATATGATTTTATATGTTTTAATTTTGTGATGGATGGAGTTGGGAACGGAACTAAGATTTATCCTTGGGTAGACCAAGCAGTATATGTAGAAATTAATGTCAATCCTAAAACCTATATGCATAGTCTATAAAATTATATCAACCGAAGAATATTTACTATTAGTGGTCTCACCGGTGCGATGCACAAGACTTATAATCCATAGTTTCTTCTTATTATTTTTCTCTTGTCATTTTCCTTTTCTTGTTCATATATTCGAAAAGCTAGGGAACGAATTATGAAAAGTTATTGTGTAGTAAAAATAATTTTTTAAATAAGTTTAAAAAGATGGTGGGTGGTTATGCTCTATTTGGTAGGAAAAATGGAATGTAGGAGGGATGAAAAATAAGGAGAATATATTTTCTATCCTTAAAAAAAAGAAAGTAGAAATAATACATTTTCTTTCTTTTGTATTTGGTAGAATGAATGGAAAATAAAAATGATTAATTTTTATTTGTGCTTAGTAAGATGGAAAAAAATATTTTCAATTATTTATTATTTTTTTAAAAAAATAAAATATAAATACATATTTTATCATTATATTTATATATAAAACTAATGTATACATAATATATGTATATATCAAAAGATATGTAAACAAATAATATATATTTTAACACAAATAATTAACTTTTCATCAACTTTCTTTCCAATTTTAGAGGGATTGATTTTGATGAGTTAAAAAAAAAAGCTCATCTATCCACTTTTTCATTCTTGCTATTTTCCTTCTTTATCAAACATGATATTTTATCTATTCCTCTAATTTTTAATCATTCTATTTTTTCATCGTATCAGACGGAGCATTAGTGATAAAAAAATTAAGTAGTTATAAGCAACATATGTTAAAATATGATTTGAAGAAACTTTTGAAATATAATTAAATAATTCATAATTCTATGAAATTAGAAACTAATATGGGAAGAATTCTCAAAGTCTCTCCCTAAAAAATTATTTGTTATATATACATACTAGTTATTATCTGTATCTGAAGACACAAAATAATAAAAAATGATACCACAATGACTGTGGTGGCGGCGAGGGCAATGACGATGGTGGTGACGGTGGCGCCAGCGGTGGCAAAGATAGTGGTGGTGGGGGGTGATGGTGGTTGTGACAGCGGTGGCGAGGGCAGTGGTGGGTGGTGGTGGCGACGGTGGTGGCAGTGGCGGTGGCGGTGACGACGATGGTGGTGGTGGTAGTAGTGGTAGTGGTGGCATTAGTAATGGCGGTGGCGGTAGAGGTAGTGGTGGGACAGTTTCAAACAATATTTTTTTTAAAGTATTTATGAGAAATAATTTTTAAAAGTACTTTTAAAAAGTCAGTCCAAACACATCCTTAGAGGCCTATTTTTTATAAAATTTAGGGTGTTAATATTAGCCATTAGATTAACTTTAAAATAAAATTTAAAACGATTTCAATTGCGAATAACAAAAATCCTTTTGTTTATTTTTTAAAATTTGAATCGTAAACTACTTTATTATATAGATAATATAAATAACCTAAACTACTAAAAAAAAATAATTGAACAAAAATACTAATGTTTTAACAAATCTCATTCATTATTTTATGAGAGTGGTACTTAAGGTTATTTTTATTTCTGATTGAACCTGCGCTAAAATTTTTAGCAACTTCTTTTTCTATATATACAATTAAAGAGAAAATCATTTATCATCTTATTGTGAAACCTAGTTTTGACAATGTTCATGGCTAAAAAACATGTCAGGAAAAAAAAGAAGAAGAAAATGCTTGATATTTTTCAACTCCCGTTTAAACTTCGGCTGAATTTTCTTTTTATGTGTATTACTTTTTTTACCACACCGTTCTTCAGCTTGGTGTGGTTTAATGCTTACTTTGGTTCGTTTTTGTTTCCTAAGTTAGGTAGGGCTCTTGGACTGGGTATGAACGTGTTTAAGTAAATATTATTTTATTCTTATAGTTTTATGGGTCATTTTTGTTTTAACTGAATAGAAAGTCTTTGTAGTTTAGCATAACAAATTCTAAAGGAATTTGGTCAAGATCTAAAAGTTACAATATTTTAATATTTTTACACTTGCCAAAAAATTATAATATTTTACGACCAATAAACAATTTTTGTTCAAAAAATAATGTATCCATGGATTAAGGCTTTGAGATAGGGAAGCCACCTTTGATCGAAATATACTTAAATATTGAAAACACTTAATTCAATCACTGATTTATTTCGCTCTATTTAAAAATAAAAATATTTATATTCTTTCAACTATTTTGAAACAAAATTTTGATCGTTGCTGTCAACTAATGACTCAACCTGATTTATTAATGTATTAGTTATTCTCTGTGCCTGAAGGCACATAATAATTAAAAATAACAAACAATAAATATATTTATATTCATATTCAAAATCAAATTACAAACATAGAGAAGAGATAAAAGAATTTAAGCATCGATTTGTAGTAGGGGGTGAGAGGTGGTAGGTAACAGTGGTGGTGGTAGGATACGATGATGGTTATGGTGAGTGGCAATGACCATGGTGGTGGTGGCGGCAACGACAGTAACAGTAATAGTGGCTACGGCGGTGATGGTGGCGATGACGGTGGTGGAGACAGCGGTGGTGGTGGAGACGACGGAGACGGTGGTAGTGGCAGTGACAGTGGCGGTGGTGGTGATGGTGGAGACGGTGGTGGTAGGGGGTGGTGGTGGGGCGGTTTCAAACACTATTTTTTTTAAAGTATTTATGAGAAATAATTTTTAAAATTACTTTTAAAAAATCACTCCAAACACACTCTTAGGGATCTATTTTTTCTATTAAATTTAGGGTGTTAATATTAGCCGTTAGATTAACTTTAAAGTAAAATTTAAAGCGATATCAACCGCGAATAGCAAAAATCATTTTGTTTATCTTTTGAGATTTGAATTGTAAGTTACTTTATTATATACTAGTTATTGCATGTGGCTGAAGACACAGAGTAATAAAAAAATGGTAAACAATTAACATATTTGTATTCATATCCAAAATCAAATCATAAATATAGAGAAAAGATAAAAGAATTTAAATATCGATTTGTAGAAGGGGTGAGAGGTGGTGGACGACAGTGGTGGTGGTGGTAGGAGACGGTGATGGTTGTGGTGAGTGATAATGACCGTGGTGGTGGCGACAATGGTGGTAATGGTGGTGGTGGTGGTGGTGGCAGCGACAGTAATGATGGTGGTTATGGAGGCGGTGGTGATAACGGTGGTGGTCGGGATGGGTGGTGACGACGGTGGTGGTGGCGACGGTGGTGGTGGTAGTTATGGCGGTTGTGGTGGGGGTGGTGGTGGGGATAGTGGTGATAGAGGTAGTGGTGGGACAGTTTCAATCGCTATTTTGTTTTAAAGTATTTATGAGAAATAATTTTTAAAATAGTTTTAAAAAATCACTCTAAACAAATCATTAGGGGTCTATTTTTTCTATCAAATAAGGTGTTAATATTAATCATAGATTAACTTTAAAGTAAAATTTAAAATGATCTCAACCGTGAATAGTAAAAGTCATTTTATTTATTTTTTGAGATTTGAATTGTAAACTACTTTATTATATAGACTAGTTATTGCCTGTGCCTGAAGGCACAGAGTAATAAAAAATGATAAATAATAAATATATTTGTATTTATATCCAAAATCAAATCACAAATATAGAGAAGAGATAAAAAAATTTAAACATCGATTTGTAGTGGAGCTAAGGGGTGGTGGTAGGAGACAGTGGTGGTAGTGGTGACGACGGTGATAATTATGGTAGTAGTGGTGGCGACGGCGGTGGTGGTGGAATGTGGAGGCGGCGGCGGTGATGAGGGTGGTGGCGATGAGGGTGGGGTGATGGTGGCGATGGCGATGGCGATGGTGATGGCGGCGACGACAGCGGTGGTGGTGGTAGAGGTAATGGTAGTGGCAGTAGTGAGACAGTTTCAAACACAATTTTTTTTAAAAGTATTTATGATAAATAATTTATAAAAGTCATTTTAAAAAGTCACTTTAAACACATCCTTAGAGCCCTATTTTCCTATTATGTTATTAGAGTTAAAAGTATGTTTGACTCTATAAATGTTTTTATAAATACATTAAAAAAAAAATAGTGTTTGAAACCGTTCTATCACTACCACTACTTCTACAACCAGCACCCCACCACTACCACCACCATCACTATCGTCGCTGTTGCCACCATTGTCGCAACTATCGTTGCCGCCACCACCACCGCCATCATCGTTGTCGCCGTCACCACCACCACCACCACCAGCATCGTCGCCGTTGCCACCACTATTGTCGCCATTGTCGTTGCCGCTCTCACCGCCACCACGATCAATTCCACCTACCACAACCATCACCGTCTCCTACCACTACTATTGTTGCCCACCATCTCTCACCTCCACTACAAAATAATGCTTAAATTCCTTTATCTCTTCTTTATATTTGTGATTTAATTTTGAATAAAAATACAAATATATTTACTATTTATTATTTTTTATTATTTTATATTTTCAGACAGAGACAATAATTAGTATATATATTTTTTAGAACAAAATAGAGGATAAAGAACAGCCAATCCAAAAACGACACCATTCATAGTTGTTCCATTCCTTTAATGTCCTCGTACATATTCTCAGAAGCAATCAAAACGACAGCCTCCCAAAAACCAACGGCCAACCAACATTGTCCCTCTATCTGTCCATTCCCAACCTTTCCTTTTCCTTTGTGAAAGTATGTCCAAACAGAGTGCTAAACCTATTCTGTTTTCCCGGCGCATATTAGCCAGCCCACCCTATAACCAGATACTTCGATTTAGTACATCACATCATTTCCTATAATTTTTCCCACTTTCCCTCACATTTTCTCTCTTTCTCTCCCTCCCCCTGCCGATGCAGAATGCCTTCTTTCTCTCACTAAGATGCCATCATCGTCGTCGTCTCTCTCCTCTCCGCCGTTGCAATCGGCAGCTGAGGCCTCCGCAGAGAGTCGCTTAAGGGAGGCGGAGGACCGCCTAAGGGAGGCAATAGAGGAGCTTCAGCGTCGGCAGCGCCGCGCGCGTGAGATTCATCCTCCTTGCGACCACCCTGACGAATCATGCGTCGCCAACGCCATCGGTAATCTTTGCCAGAGCTTCCTCCTCTCTTATGGTGTTCGCGTCGGCATCGGAATTCTCCTTCGCGCCTTCAAGCTCGCTCGCAGACAATCGTATTCCTCTCTCCTTGATCTCAAGGTTCTTCTCTTTCTCCCTTGAAAACATAATTGACTTATGGTTGAATGAACTTGCTTTTAATTTAGACTTGTGGTGTAATTATATCGAATTAGGGTTTAATGATCGGATTACGTTTGCCATGGTTTTGAGCGGATTGTGGTTAATTTTATTCTTTCTGAATTTCAGTGAATCGTGAGTGATGATTGGGTTTGAATTATAATGAACCAGTTATTGGATAACTGTCTGCTTAAATTACGGTTGTAATTGCAAATTGGTTATGTTATGAGCTGTGTTAGTGAAACTGTGTTCTTGCGGCATTATTTTCCTTGTTCAATTTAGTTTGATTTGTGTTACTTCTTGTTGTGTTTCTGCTTTTGGTGATGGGTTTTTCTTGTTTTTACTTTTTTCCCCTTGTCTTGTAGAGAAATGCTATTTTGATAAAAAATATTAACACCTTTTGTTGACAAAAAATATTTTGGCAAAAAATATTAACACCTTCATCACAAGTATTGGATCCTAATAAATGTTGGGATCCACAATTAAATTAATAACAAGGATGTCGGGAGTCGGCAAATCTTATCAATATTTTTTGTTCTGGTAACATTGCTCTTTCTTGTAAAGCTATATGTTTTTATTAATAAAAGCCCTATTTTTTTAACAATCACAAAAAATAATTCTGGTTTCTTTTTTTTCTCTTTATTTTTTTGGTGTTAAGTGTTTTATTTTCATTTAACTGAACTAGGATTTCGTAATTCTGTAAGATATGCTTAGGTATTAGGTCACTTCGTTGCTGAGAGATCATGGTCTATATCAAATTCGTTGAGTTAAATGCTAGCTATGATTGGGTTTAATTTTAATGTAACAATGGTGGCACATTTAATAGGTCTGTTCTTCTTCTCCTCCTCTTCCTCCTCCTTTTGCTTTGTTTTTTTTTAATGGCAAATTTTGTTTTACCCCTATGATATACCTGTTGGCATTTCAAATCTGTCTGGCTAAAATATAAACCAATAACCATCCATGTCTTTTTTGCTTATTATGCACTGCTGACACCATTAATGACATGGGCAGAATGACCTAAATCTATCCACATCCTCAAATCTTAAATTCAAATGAGTACTTTAAATTTTGAAAAATTTAAGATATATTTGGATTTGAATCATTTGATGATGTGGATAGATTCCCACCATTAAAAATGAATTGGGGGATCATTCTCTTTCTTGTGCAAAAGCTTGTTTCTACACACATACATGTGCATATCAAATACAGATGAGTGCTTTCTTTCTATCTCTTCTTAAGTGATGTGAGAAATGTTTTTGCCCAACTATTGGACAGGTTTGAGAGTCCATTAGTACCTCTAATAACTTTAGATTCGAAGAAGAGAGTACTATCTTATGGTTAGTGTATGTTATTCAAGGAGTGGGAGATATATGTAGATCTTCCCTCGTGATTACACACGTGGAGTGAAAGACACTATCTAGAGGGGGGTAAATAGGTTTTTAAATTTTTCACTTAAACAATTACAAATTAAAACCTATTACTATTGCAATTACCTCTTCTCTCAAGGTTGATTCCATTAATGGTGAGAACTCCCATGAACTTATGAAGATTAGTTATTAATTAGCAAATAATCACTCAACACTCAATCTCCCACGGGGATCTCAACCCAATGACACAAACCCTTGGTACGCTATTGTGGATAATGAAGATATTCAATCAAAAATACAATGAAACACATAGTGTGCGTGTGTGTGTCAAATTGTAAGTGTGGATGAAAATACGATAATGAACACAAAAAATTTGTAGACGCGGAAATCTTTCTCGGAAAAAACCGTGGGGAATCTTCTCGGTTCACCGAAGCTTAATTCACTATCCTAAAGTCAGTTTATAAGTACTTGAGTTTTATATCTCAGCCAATACCATGGTTAGATGCTTCCTTTCTTTAATAAGCCTTTCCGTTGAAATGCCTCTCCGACGCCTTGTGTAGTTTCACTTGGATTCATACCGCAATAGATCTTATATGCCTTGAGCAATGTTCACCAATAATCCTCGATATGCACATTCTATTGGATTTGGTCTTCAACCAATCAAGATCTTCTTCACCAATTTGTGACTTGTGAGGTTGGATAAGAATCACTAGATGGTAGCCTTGGGTTTAGGGATCTAGGGTTGTGGTGTGATTTCTAAGGTGTAAGAGACAAGAATTCAGCTCACAAAAGAGATACCCTAGGTTGGGAAAGACACTCCCTATTTATAGGTTCGGAATTAGTGTAATCTTGATCAACAAGACAACTTAAATTCGCGAACAATATCAAATTCAATGGCAGTCCCTGCTCTTCCTCCATTTGGCATTTTCTCCATTTTTTTCCTAAGTCATAAAGAGACTGCTCCAGCGAAGGCTAACAAGTATAAGGTAGTCCCTACTAATTTTTTAAGCCTAAAATCTATCCAAAAACTTGTCTTCGTGCGCACTAAATGACGTTGCTCAGTAGGAGTCCAATAATGACTCAAACTATGTTTTTAAAATATAAAACGGTCAATTCTGTTTTAATACTAATTCTCTTAAATCTATTAAATCAAGGAATTATCTTAAGTCTCCGAGCCATTACTTTGTCTTAAGTATGAAGGTGCATATGGAGTACTTTTGATGTAGTATTGACTCATGATCTCCCCCCTTCAATCACGCTTTCGGATCTTCATCGTTGTAGTATCATGACCATGGAATAGGTTGAAATTTACATGAACTTAAGGAAATTAGTTAATTACAAACATATGATCTAGTAGTGTACATAATGCAGTCACTTATTTCCCGTGCAATAAAGTTAGTTGCGCTCGTGAAAGTCCCCTTTTTGGGGATGGCGTAGGGTTGGGACTGGAGTGGAAATACTTTTTTAGCTGCTTTAATTTGATGTGACTGTTTACAGGCTTTCAAATTTTAAAAAGTTTGATGACCTCTCTGTAGTGTTTGCTAAAGCATTATTAGTTTCTTTAACAAAATTAGAATAGTGGATTATCACCTCCCCAGTGCGGGTCCTAAAAATAAATAAATAGAAGAAATAGAATTCGAAGTTACATTTGGAAGGTCACAATCCTAATGTACTTCAGTCATGAGCAGGCACTTCTCAGTTAAATACCCTGAAATTTAGAAATCCAGGGTTTTTGATGTTAGATGTTGATTTCCTTTTTCTTCACTGTTAATTTTTACTCGACTGGTACTTTTCAAGAAATATGCTGAATGCGCTTGCCTTATCCATCCCATTTGATGTACTGTTAATTACTTGGCTTGTATTTTGTTATGTCTATGCACATGTATGTCAGAATTATGAACAGGTCCTCCAAAAAAAAAAAAGTATTATGAGCAGGAGTGTTATGTGCGGACAATATATTTTACTAAACCTTTCATTTGTAAAATATACTTGTGCACTTGTTGTGAACAATTGAGTTCTGATTGCAGCAACTTGTCTCAGAGAAAGATCTGATAGTAAGAGAGGAAGCATGTCGAATTGGTTTACTGTTTGGTGGATTTACTGGGTCCTATCACGCTCTTAGGTGTTTGTTGAGGAAGCTGAGAAAGAAAGAGACCCCATTGAATGCGTGAGTTTGAATCTTTTTCTGTTACTTAATTTTAGATTACAATCCAAATATCTTTTCACTATTGTTTATTTTATGTTTTTATTATGATTATTTGGGTTCATGGATGCATTGGAATTTTTTATAACTTTTGATGCATGATGTTGCCTATTTCACATGTATGACTTTGTTAAAGGGGATGATGGAGCAGATTTTTAGCAGGTTCAGTCGCAGGTTTGTCTATTTTAGCATTAGATGATTCCAACCGAAGGCGTACTCTTGCTTTGTATCTTTTGGCTAGGTTGGCCCAGGTACGCGACTGCCTTTCTTATTTTCATAGTTATTTCCCAGTGCCACATGACATTGTAGGAATTAGTTTATTATTTTGGTTTTGCTTTTTTTTCACCCCCTCCTGCCATCCTAATTGATTTGTCTATTTGATCAGTGTGCTTATAATTCTGCAAAGTCCAAGAATAAGTTTCACCTTTGGGGAAGCCATTGGAGTCATGGTGATTCTTTACTCTTTGCTTTATCATGTGCACAGGTAACACAACTCAATGTTCAAGTGACAAAAATTTTTTTCACATACAGTGGGTAGCTCATTTTTCTTATTTTCACTTTATTGGGTTCGTTCTGACTCTTCGAATTGTGTGAATTGTAGTGCTTTCTTTGCCATGTTAAAAGTATGATTGAAATCAAATCATCCTTTTTTTAGGTACTTACTAGGTTTTCTGTATAAGATGCCTTCACATGTTTACTTTTGTGATTCGTTGCTTCCTCTTTTCAGGTTATGTATGCCTTCGTGATGCGTCCTGAGAGCTTGCCAAAATCATATCAAGATTTTATTCAGAAAACTGGGCCAGTTGCACAACCTGTATACAAGGCTGTGAGGGACTGCTGTAGAGGTTCCCCAGTAGATGTTACCTCACTGTCGGCCTACTTAGCCAACAGAAGGAACTTCAACTCCGTGAAGTTAGAAGAATTTCCTTCTATTATTCCTTGTTCCATAATTCACCCAGACACGAAGTCATGCTTAGCTCACAATGCAAATGCAGCATCAGCTACTTTTAGGAAAACATTTCCTCTTTACTTCTCTTTGACTTTTGTACCATTCGTTGTGCTGCGTCTACAAAAGGTACACCATTTTCTGATGGTGGTTTCTCTTTACTATAGATCCTTTTCTTACATTGTAATGCAAGAACATTTCTTGATAGAGCTCTATTTCTTATTTCGTTTGTTATGGGCAAGAAGTGTAATTTTCTTGAACTGATTATTCTGATATTTGATTCCATTTTTAAGTTCATGGATGCTCCTGTTCGCACCTGTTGGAATGCTCTTACAGGAGCTGTTCGCTCGACAGCATTTTTGTCTGCTTTTGTTGGAATTTTTCAGGTAGCTGTTTGCTTATTGTTGTTTTTGTTTGCCTCTTCTATGGGTTGCCATAACTTTTTTTAGTAACTTCTCTTTGACGATGCAAGGGAGTCATATGTTCACACCGGAAAGTGGCGTCAGAAGACCACAAGCTTGTATATTGGGTTGCAGGCGGATTATCTGCCCTCTCTGTACTATTGGAGAAGAAAGCTAGACGTGGAGAACTTGCCCTATATGTCCTTCCACGAGCTGGAGATTCCTTGTGGTATATTCTAGTGAACCGCCATCTGCTTCCAAATATCAAGAATGCTGAGGTATTGCATTCATTACTGCTTTGTGTTTCCAGGGAAGTCACTTTATATGAATAAATGCATCACTTTCTGCATTCCACAGATTCTTTGACAGTATATGAGATGCCATTTATGACAGGGGAAGTATATGAGATGCACTTTTGATTATGATTAAATGATGTGATGAAATAATCGCCCTGTTTTGTGCAAGTTGTTCATTAGAGTTCTTTTCATTGAATTTAAACTCGGCACAATATTGAAAGATTTGCTTCTAGAGCATGGCAAGCACCAATCAAATAGAAGTTCCAATGGTTTGTATTATCCTGATCTCTGATTGTCGCTTCTGAACTTTTACAGGTGGCTATGTTCTGTGCTTGTATGGGCGGAATAATGTACTATTTAGAACATGAACCTGACACCATGGCTCCATTTCTCAGGGGCTTGATTCGCCGTTTCCTTGCTAGCAGAATTAGCAGCCCGGGCCCTTCGTCAACTCGAAATGCTTCTTACACATATTTACAAACTCTAGATGCCATGAAGAAACCGAAATTGTTGGAGAACCGAGGGGCTGAAACAACGGCTTCAGAGAAGTATAATCTTGAATCCATTCCTGGGCTCTGAGCTTCTCTTTTTTTAATTGCTCATAAGCTGCAGCTATGGAAATTTAAGGTCGACCATTCTTTTTTGATTCACTGCATTCTAATTCGTCTCAAGAGCAGCAGAATTCTGCTCAGTATTATAGAAAGAACCCTAAGGAGGGGATTGTTGGTGTTTCATATCCTTTCTCTTCAAATAAAGGAGCATTGAGTATTCATTCTCATTCAAAACTTCTTGAGATTTTGTGTTCATGTAATTTGTCATTCTCTGAACGAAAGTTGAAATCTAGATGGTTTTGGAAGGGATTATATCTTTGTAAATTTATATATACAGCATGTATGCTTCGATGGTAACAACCATTTTCTTCTTCTAGCTGGAAGATGAGAGAGATGAGCGTGAGACCTTGGGAATTAATGCATGTAATACCCCAATTTGCCAGACCATACGTATAGTAGAATACATTACTGAAAACACAATCTTAGCATCAAGAACGATGGAGCAATCACCAGAGCCAACGACCCAATGAACCCTAAGAAGTTGTACAATAGGAATGAGCGCGTTGTGATCAACTACTGTTTCTTCAGTTGGAGGTTGCCACCAGGGGCGTGCAGTGGTGCTCAGTGATAGGCATAGAGTTGGGTTGTGGTTGCAACAGAAGCTACATATTTTCAGTTTTACCATTATTTATTTTATCCTATTTTCAAATTGATTAACCAAATTTAACCAAACAACAATAATACTAAACATGCTTCTTTATAATCCACTTCCAAACATCCTAATCAAATTATTGAACTCTCTCATATCCATTACGAAACAAGTTCCTTCATTTGTAAAATGCTTTTCACCCTTATCTTAGCCAGAGAGAACATCATCTCCCCCACCCACACTGTGCTCTCTTCTCTTTCTACCATCCACCACCATCGTCCCTCTTCTCTCCCACATGTTTGCGCGCATAGCAAACTAGTAGAGATCCTCCTCTTCTACCATCTCTGCATTCTCTGACCTCGGTACACCACCTCAGAGCAAAAAATATGCACCTTTAACCCACCACCACCTTCTCTTTCAGTTAGCAACTATTTTTTTTTTTTTGAAAAGCAAAAAATTTTATTGAATGAACCAAAGAATTAGACAAATCAAAAGGGAAAGAAATCCTATTTACAACACCAATTTAATGGCTTTAATCCTTCAAATCATGACAACATGTCAAGAACTTCTTCAAACCTGCCTACATAACAAACCGAAACAAAAAATTACAAAGACATATCCACAGTTTTCAAAGAATGAGAAAGACTCAGAATTTTTGACTCTTAAAACAGGTATCTTTGATCTTGCACCATCAATAACCTCCCCATGCTTGGCATCGAACCCACAACAGAAAAAAACAGTAGATGCCCTCACCTGTACTGCCTGTTTTGACAGAAAATCAGCCACAACATTTGCTTCTGTAAAAATATGACAAATCTGAAAATCAACACCTTGCAGCAAAGCAAAAATTTTAGACAGGATACCAGACAACCTCCATGGAATCTCAATCCTTCCCAACACCATTTGTACCAGAATCTGAGAATCAGATTCAATTAGCAACTTATAACCTTCCAAACCAAAACTTCAACACATTCTGAGCCCATCAAGCAAAGCCATGCCTTCAACTCTCATGTTCGAGCCCTCCCCTTAGAAGTAATCACCTGCTAAAACAAAAATCCCCTCTTGATTCCTTACCACCATTCCCCCTCCAGACAAACCTGGGTTCCCTTTAGCAGCCCCATCCATGTTAAGTTTCAGAACCCCCTGTGGAGGAGGAGACCAAGCAACCCAAATGGCCTTAGAAAAGACAGCAGTAGACACCTGCACCTTTAAAGTCTGCAACACCTCCCTACCTCTCCTTCCCTCCCTTCTCTTTGGCTTCACACAAAAAGCCTGATATTGAAGACATGCCAGAATCTGCATATAAACAGAATAGGAAGACAAACTAACCTCTTCATGCCTCCTCCTACATCTTTCCTTCCAGATAAACCAAAAAACCAACAAAGGCTCACCTCTCACCAAACCATTACTCAAAGACTGCTTATGAAGAATCCTAGCAATCCTCTTCGGTCTAACCATAGGAGACTTTCAGTTAGCAACTATGGAGGAAGACTTGAGGCTGAGAAGATGGGTGCATTTCGGATGGTAATAACCATTTTGCTATGGAAGATGAGAGAATTGTTATTTTACTATGGCCCTTCAGGGTTACATAGATATGAGAGAGTAGAACATCAGACCTCAGGAATTAATACCAGTGACACAACAATTTTGTATGAGAATTCCTTGATGTGGTTCTATTTTAGAGAGAAATTACATGAGATGTCATTTTGATTCTGGTTAAATGGTGCAATGAAATGATCGCATTTTTCTTGTGCAAGGAGTTTTATTATGGTTCTTTTTATTGAAATTAACCTGATATAATGCTGAAAGATTTGCTTCCAGCTCATGGCAATCACCAATCAAATCAAAGTTACACTGGTTTATATTATGCCCATGACTGATCGTCGCTTATGAAGTGATATAACTGGATTCATCGCTTCCTTGCCAGCAGAATTAGCAGCCTGGCCCTTTCATGAAGTCAGCACGCTTCTTATAACCATCAAAAACTCTGGATGCCATGAACAAAACCCCCAAATTGGTGGAAAACCTTGAGGCTGAAAAGAACAGCTTTGGAGAAATACAATCTTGAATCCAATCCTGGGCTCTGACAATCTCTTTTTAAATTGCCCATAAGCTGCAGCTAAGGGAATTCAAGCTCCACCATTCTTTTTGATTCATTGCAATTCAATTTGTCTCGAGGGCAGCAGAATTCTGCTCAATATTGTAAAACCTTGAGGTGGGGAATGGTGGTGTTTCATATCCTTTCCCCTTGTAACATAAGGGATCTTTGAGAATTCATTCCCATTCAAAACTTCTCGGGATTCTGTATTAATTTCATTTGTCATTCGCTGACTGAGAGTTGAAAACAACATTACTTTGGAAGGAATTTATCTTTGGAGTATGCACAGAATGTTCGTTTCTGATGGTAATAACCATTTTGCTATGGAAGATGAGAGAACTGCATTTCACTGGGGGTTACATAGATAATGAGAGACTTGATCAGGGGACCTCGAGAAGTGATAGCAATAATACAGAAATTTTATAGACCATGCGGGTAATAGAATTCATAACTGAAAACACATACTTGGTAGTAAGGAGGACAGAACAGTACAATACAAACCTAGAATTAAGGAGAAGGACAGAAGAATACTGAAGCCAAACTGAGGCTCTCCGCAACTAACGTGAGCGCAAAGAGAACGTCATATGGTGCAACTACCCATACAAGTTGATATCAGGATCATATACGAGCACTTTTTCGTCCAAGGCCAAAGAGCTTTCCTGCGGCTGCCAACAATAAAAGGGGAATTGCTAGGAGGAGCAGATTCCAGGCTTCACCGGGCGACATCGAAAATATGCAGCACATGTAGGATCCAAACAGCATTGATACCGAGATCTGCGACCATGGTTTGAATGGGAATTTACGGAGGAGGAAGATAACCACAGCCAATGACCCAACGAACCATATGGAATTGAACATTATGAACGACTCCTGTTTATTCCGCTGGAGGGTGCCATCTAAAGTGGGGTTGCGGAAGTAGTCCTCTTTCAAAGTGCCATTGAGGATGGGAAATGCAGCTTGGTAGCCTGTTATTAATACAAGGGTGGCCATCAACAACACCACCACATGTCTAGCAATGAAAATTTTTCTTTTGTACCGGAGAGCAGCATGCTGGTTGGTATCACGATTGGCAAGACCCCTGGCTCTCAAAGCTCCAGCTTGACCAAGGATCCTGCCAATTTCCACATCAAATATCCGATCACGTGGTAGGACATCGAGGATGTCCAGAGCGGTGAAACCACCGGAACTCATTGCATTCACATCTACCACTTTGCAAGTGAGTAAAACTTCTAAAATCTACAAGAAAAATGAATTGCACAAACATAAGTTCGGTTACTGCAACAAGAGACCACAGAATGACATTTTGCACTGGTCTACTGATCATGGGCAAGTGCCAGAATATGGTAATTAATGTTCTAACGTTAAATAAAAACATCGCACATATATAAAACTGCAAAGAAACATGAAACCCACATATGATCTTTATTCCAATTGTGGTTATCCATATGCTAATTAAGCGTCTTTACTCAGAATCTACCATCATAATTGAGCAAATTCAGATTCCGAATAGATTTTCGTAGTAAAAAGTGGTTTAATTCTAATTTCACAGAAGAGACAGTACTGCAAATTTATTTTTGTTATTGGGGGAGTTTGGGAACAAATTAGAGACAAAAGAAGGCTTGCAAAATATACTCCACAATCGAGCAATTAGTAAATACTTGGTCGCCCCTGAAATTTCTTCTCCTAAGATGTGCAATATGCAGTAAAACAGAGCTTAATTCCCCTTAAATATTTTTCGATTTCAAGAGGAGGAAGATGATTTTAGTACAACAAAGAATAAAAGGGAATTGGTTATATGTGTGCGTGTTTTTTTTTTTTTTTGGGGGGGGGGGGGAGGGGGTAGGGAACAAAACCTAACCTTGATTTGTTTTGCTGAAACTGCCAGATGCAGAGGCGTCTTGCCATCGGAATCCTTCCCGTTAATGAGATGGGCGTAGTCTCTATTTCTTTTAAGCCATTCCACCAAGAATCCGACTGCTCCAACCTGATTATACAAAACCGCGGTGTGAAGACAGTTGTTCCTCGCTACAGTCAGCACTTTCACTGCGTCAGGGCATGCTTCGAGAATTACCTTCATGGCCTCGACCATGCCTCTCCTCGCCGCCGCGTGGAGAGGTGTTCCGCCATGCTTGTCCCGTCGAAGACATTCGTTTTTATTAGTCTCTATTAGGGTTCTCAGGGTCGCTAGATCTCCATTGCTGGCAGCCACATGCATTGGAGTGTAGCCATTATCTTCTATCTCCTCTTCGCTCCATTCAATTACTAATTCTCTCGCACGCCTTGCAATCACACTCGGTAAACTCAACCTTAGACGTCTGCCTTCGAAAATGTTCCTATCGCACTCAAATCCAGAACCATAAAACTTATCGCTTTCCCCAACCTCCTTTTCTGGTGATGCATTCGAATAATCGCCGACGGTCAGGTATTTCGACATATTTCGGTTTAGAGCCAAAACAAACTGCCTAGCGAAGTGGGACAATATTGAATTTGAAACATCTCCGACCGATGGATCTCCGGCGATTCCTTGACATCTACTGGGGAAGACATAATTTCTCAAATATTGAAGTCTGGAACAGCACCAACAACAGAAGGACAACAATTTTCTCACAACAATCAAACACAATGAAGCCCTTGCTACTTTTCTTGGGACGGAGAGGAATAGAGTGTGAACGCAGAAGTCTAAATGGATCCAAGCCTACTACTACTGATCTATTCCGCGTAAAAACTTGAGGGTAACCTTGACTTTCTTCTACTCCCTCACTCATCACGATCACGCGGTAAGTGTCTTTCCTCTTTCCTTAAACACTTACACCCCTGTGATTGTTGTTAATTTGAGGAGATATATTGAATTTGCCCTAACATTCTACTAGAGGTTGCCAAATACAAACGGAGACGGCACACTTAAACTCATTGCCCGTTTTGAAAAAATGTGAGATGTCAGATCTGTCCTCCCCTCCCCTAATCGCTCTTTATTTTGGATTGTCTTTAGCACATGAAAAGGTTTTTACTAAGGCATTCAAAAAAAATTCACTATGCTACCATTTATTATTTTTTTGAATATTTATTCCAGGTAACTCAAAACATTTTCGATATTTATTTTTAATGGTTGCGTCTTTAAAGATAAAATTGTAATTTATTAGAGTTATTTATAATTGATCATGAATAGACTCAATTAATTGTAACTTGATCTTAAATTCTCAAATTAAAAACATATATATAATTATGCTCTAAAAAGAATAAAAACACATGTCCTTTGTAGTTGGATCCTAATAAAAGAATATAAATAAATAATTTTTTAGAGTTTGTTACTGATTTGTTTGTATTCCCTATTATTAACAAGGGATATTCTGTTTGAATTTGATCTATTCTCTAGGCCTCGACCACGTTTGTAGGTTTGTTAAATGTGGGTTGCTCTTAATTTTGTTTGTAAGGCTATTTATAAGCCAATAAGTCTCTGTCGAATAACAAGACTATTCTCCTAATTTTTACTTTCAACATACAGGGCTCCTAACATCTGGTATTAGACCCAAGTTACTGGGAAGCAGTAGTCTTCTAAGCATGTAACAGGAAGGATGTCAACTGAAAGTAACTTCGTACAACCAGCAATTCCAAAACTTGATGGACACTATGATCACCGGTGCACGCTCATGGAGAGTTTTTTACGCTTGAACGAGTATTGGAGCCTGATACTGTCACGCCTTATCCGATCTCTTAAGGATGAGATGTGACTAGGTTTTTCATACACCTGTGAACAATTATTATAAGTTGGACTAATCAAACATGATATAATCCTACAGGTGCAACAACACCACTCATCACCTTAGTTATTAATCATAATGGTAAAACCTGTCTGATAATTTGTACTATATATAAATACATGTACCAATCGTTTATTTTTCAAGTTATAGACATATACAAAATTCTACACCCACATAGCATATATCACAAAGTATCCTTACTGAGTCTATTTACAAATATATACTATTAACCTGTCATAAATATTTCTCAGAAATATAATATACAGCCTAACGATTAGTCATACTGACACTCAACCTGAGTGATATCACACTAACGTTGCACAAGTCTCAATCAATTGGACAGTGGACCAGTTTGTTTCCTTCTCTATAGTACCTGAAAATAGAAACTGTAAGGGTGTGAGCTAAACCACGCACTCAGTGAGTATACATGCAATATATAAAATAAAAATGATAGTAATACACTGAAGTAGATAGATACTACGTAGATACACGTATCAAACAACAACATCAATCCAATTCCAAAGAATTCACAAGCCACATCACATTCACACTACCCCTCATTGGATAATCGATCCCACATAGATCCGTGTCTCCCGAACCTCCCGGGAACACCATAGTGCTAGCACATCACTGCACGCCCAGTGATTAGGCATCATACAATCACATAAGCACATAACACATAATTCTGGAGAAATGCTATTAACTTATATCATTTACTTTCATATTATAATAGCATTTTAAAAACATATAAAGATATACACCCACCTCAGATGTACAAAGCTACGACCTTTCGGTTCTATTGGTAGATCCTTTTGGTGTTATCGTATTCGTTCCGACACCGACTGTCTCACCCGTTCCACCTAACACATGTGTAATTACAATATCAATATGTTTATCACATTTAATAGTTAATAATGAACTAATGCATGCAAATGATGCACCCCAAAGTGCCCTGGTAACCCCGATTACCGCACTATCTACTTATACATTAACACATTTGTTCTAGGGATCACATTTCCTTCCCAAATTCCCAAAATCACTCACATTAATCACAATTAAGATTAGTGTGTCAAACACATTGACCGGGGGTCCATTTCCACACATTTCGATCCTAAATTCTAAAACCTGCACTTCCGACATTTCATACGTTTCGCACCGGATATTATACTCATTTGCATTCAAAAGTCACATTATCACATCAAGAATTATTTAAAAATGCTACATGCAAAATTTTAGGTCATTTGAATTAAAATTCGCACATGTGATAATAATATTTAGAAATTAGAGTTTCGGCGTTATCGGCACCCTTTCCTAACCTCTATCACTCTTTTCTTTTTAAAACAGCCGCCCTTAACTCACACACACATTTAATCAATGCAAAACAGCCACTAATTAGCCCTTTAAATCACTCATTTTATTCCCATAATTTTCGTTTTCAACCTAGCTCGCTAAATACTTTCCGATATTCATTTTTCACATTTTTTTCCTTCTTTCTTATACCCGAGTTGAACACCCATTACACCCCATTTTAACAGTCCCTTAAGTGGACTCAATTCACTTAATTAAACTCTAAAAAAATTTGTTTTGATCATAAAGTACAAACAACCCATCATTTATACACAAGATAGCCTACTAATTAACTAATTATGTGTAATATACTTAATTAAACTCAAATTTAAATTAAAATAGCCTACTCATTAAAACATGCTAAAATAGTTCATACATGTATAACAACATATATATTAAAATTAATCACAATGTACGATTGAATTGAGTCACACATACCTTCTTTGCTCACGGTTCAAATAGACCCACGCACGTATATTTTTTTTCTTGCCGTCTTCTCTCTTGTTTTATTTTTTTTTTCTTTCTCTCTTGTTCTCCTCTCTCTCTCTCTCGGCTTCAGCCCAAAACCAAAACCAGAACTCACTTTTTTTTTTTTATCTTAAACACACACACACACACACCTATATACTTATATTACACACACACACACCTGACACGTTAAAACACACACACCCATACACACGGTACACTTATATATATATATATATATATATTTTTTTTTTTAACTTGTCAACACCTGTAAAGGTAATGGGTTAATTACCCTTGCCTCCCCCAAGTTATTAAATAATTTCAAACTCGACTCACTAATATTTTCACACATGAAATTTCTATAAATGATCTCACTTATACATCACTAACGGGGTCTACCTACCCAATGTATGCTCACATACATCATGGCTATGAAAGATTTAATTTAATTAACCCTTTAATACTTTCACATAATTATAATTTAGCCCACAAAATTATAGTAATATGCATGCAATGCGTGATTAGGTCTCATAGTTACACAAGGAATCCCTACAGTAGAAGTAGGGGCAGAACTCATTAGAGCAGAAAAGAAAGCGATTGAAGATGCACAACTGAAGGATTTGAAAGCTAAGAATTATCTCTTCCAAGCCATTGATCGGACAATCCTGGAGACCATTCTGAACAAGGATACAACAAAGAGCATTTGGGATTCCTTGAAGCAGAAGTACCAGGGGACGGCACGGGTGCAGCTTGCACAACGGCAAGCTCTTTGCAAGGAAGTAGGGGAATCTGTGAATGAGTACTTTGCTCAAACCCTTACTATAGCCAACAAGACGAGGGTTCATGGTGAGAAGATGGAGGATGTTGTGTTCATTGAAAAGATTTTGAGATCTATGACTCCTAAATTCAACTACGTTGTGTGCTCTATTAAGGAGTCTAATGATCTAGACACCTTATCTATTGATGAACTACAAAGCAGTCTTCTAGTGCATGAACAATGCATGAATGGCCACATTGTAGAAGAACAAGCATTGAAGGTTACTCATGAAGATCAGTCAAGAGGAAGAGGACGAGGCCGTGATGGATTCAGAGGACGAGGAAGGAAGAGGAAGAGGTAGAGGTAGACAAAGCTTTGACAAGTCTACCATTGAGTGTTACAATTGCCATAAGCTTGGACATTTTCAATATGAATGTCCAAGCAAGGAGACAAAGACAAAGGCACACTATGCAGAAGCTAGTGAAGAAATGCTAGTAATGGCATATGTAGATGTGAAGGAAGCCAATAAAGAGGAGTAATGGTTCCTTGATTCAAGTTGCAGCAACCATATGTGTGGCAAGAAGGAGCTTTTCGACAATCTTAGATGAAAGTTTCAGTACTTCTGTAAAGTTGGGAGACAATTCAAGCATGGTTGTGATAGGAAAAGGAAATATATGAATGCTGGTGAATGGAATTGTGCAGGTCATTATTGAGGTGTTTTATATCCTTGGATTGAAGAATAATTTGCTAAGTGTGGGACAACTACAAGAGAAGGGACTTGCAATCTTCATACAGCATGGGAAATGCAAGATTTATCATCCGAAGAGAGGATTAATCATAGTGACAGCAATGTCCTCAAACAGAATGTTCATCTTGTCTACTCAAAAATCAGCCAAGATTGTCGAAAAGCTCCTTCTTTAAGTCACTATGATTAATCCTCTCTTCAACATAAAAGAATGGTGAATGGACTACCACAATTTCAAGCTTCTACGAAGGTGTGTGAAGACTTTTTGGTGGGCAAACAACGAAGAGATCCATTTCCAAAACTAGCACATGGAGGGCTTCTCAGATTCTTCAACTGGTGCATGCCGATATTTGTGGACCAATCAAACCCATTTCAAACAGCAAGAAAAGGTACCTAATCACTTTCATTGATGATTTTAGCCACAAAACTTGGGTCTATTTTTTGGTGGAAAAGTCAGATGCTTTCATTACTTTCAAGAATTATAAGAGTCATGTTGAAAAAGAAACTGGTTCATCTATAAGATGCTTACGCACTGACCATGGAGGAGAATTCACATCACATGAGTTTAGAGATTTTTGCAAGGAGAATAGCATACAGAGACAACTAATAGCTTTATATACTCCATAACAGAACAGTGTTGCAGAGAGAAAGAACCAAACTATCATGAATATGGTTCGAAGCATGCTTTCGGGAAGAGGGATTCCAAAAACTTACTAGCCCAAAGCAGTCAATTGGACTGTCTATGTTCTGAATAGAAGTCCAACTCTGGTAGTAAGAAACATGACTCCAGAAGAAGCTTGGAGCGGATCTAAACCATCAGTTGATCACTTCAGGGTGTTTAGTTGCATTTCACATGTTCATATTCCTGATAGTAAGAGGACTAAGCTTGATGACAAGAGTATGAAATGTGTCCTACTCGGAGTTAGTGAAGAATCAAAGGCATATCGATTGTATGATCCAGTCTCTCAAAAGATAATAATAAGCAGAGATGTGAAGTTTGAAGAAGAGAACAGTTGGGATTGGGACAAGAGTCATGAAGAAACCATTATAGCTGATCTGGATTGGCGAGAAAGTGACAATGAAGCAATTATAGTTGGGAGGAAACACTGAAGTTGATCATCATACAGCATAAAATATGGAGGGTAATGATTCAGATGAGTCAAATGAAGAAAATTTGGGCAGTCCAAGCGAAAGAAGAATCAGAAGGCCACCAACTTGGATGAGAGATTATGAAAGTGGAGAAGGTCTCTCTAAAGAAGAAGACACTACATACCAAGCTCTATTTGTAGGCAGTGATCCAATCTCATTTCGCAATGCTGTGAAGAGTGTAAAATGGAGAAAAGCAACGGATGCAAAGATAGAAGCCATAAAGAAGAGTGATACATGGGAGTTGACAGATTTACCTGCTGGAGCAAAGAAGGTTGGGGTAAAATGGGTTTACAAGACAAAGCTCAATGGGAATGGAGAAGTGGATATGTACAAGGCCCGGTTGGTGGCAAAGGGATACACTCAAGAACATGGGGTGGATTATACTGAGGTTTTTGCACCTGTAGCTTGGTTAGATACAATTCATGTGGTGATTTCACTTGTAGCTTTAAAGGAGTGGACAATCTGTCAGCTGGACGTAAAGTCAGCCTTCTTACATGGTGAATTACGTGAGGAAGTCTTTGTCGAATAGCCTCCTGGCTACGAACAGAAGGGAAATGAACAGAAGGTGTGCAAACTGAAAAAGGCATTGTATGGACTTAAACAAGCTCCACGAGCTTGGTATAGCCGTATAGAATCCTATTTTTTGAAGGAAGGATTTGAGAAATGCCAATATGAACATACTTTGTTCATCAAGACTGGAGAAGAAGGTAAGATCTTGATTGTGTGTCTTTATGTGGATGATCTTATATTTACTAGGAATAATAATTATTTGTTTGTTGAGTTTAAGAAATCTATGATGCTTGAGTTTGATATGACTGATCTTGGAAAAATGAGATACTTTCTTGGCATTGAGGTGATGCAAATATCCGATGGCATTTTTATCAATTAGAAGAAATACACACAGGAGGTGTTGGAAAGGTTCGACATGGATAAGTGCAATCCAGTTCACAACCCTATGGTTCATGGATTCCAGCTTCCGAAAAATGGAGATGGAGTGAAGATAGACAGTACTTTCTATAAACAGATTGTAGTAAGTCTTATGTATTTGACTGCCACTCGACCGGATGTTCTGTTTGTGGTGAGTCTCATCAGTAGATTCATGGACTGCCCTACTGAACTTCATTTGCAAGCAGCAAAGAGGATACTAAGATACTTGAGAGGTACCATTGACTTTCGTGTGTTCTACAAGAAGGGAGGAAATGAGGATCTGATTATGTTGGGGATTTAGACGATAGGAAAAACACTTCAGGTTATGTGTTTATGTCAGGCTCAGGAGCAGTATCTTGGTCTTCAAAGAAACAACCTGTTTTTACCTTGTCCACTACTGAAGCAGAGTTCATCGCTGCAACCTCTTGTGCTTGTCAAGCAGTATGGTTGAGGAGGATTTTGGAAGGTCTCAGCCATGTTCAACATGATTCCACAACAGTTTACTGTGATAACAGTTCAACAATCAAGCATTCTAAGAATCTAGTGATGCATAGTCGTTGCAAACATATTGATGTTCGTTTTCATTTCCTTCGTGACCTTAGAAAAGATGGAATTGTGAAGATGGTTCATCGTCATACACAGGAGCAAGTTGCAGATATTATGACTAAACCTTTAAAGCTTGATGCGTTCTTGAAGATGCGTGATCTGCTGGGTGTTTGTTTGGATCCAGAGGTAAACTGATTGCTAAAAGCATCAAGTTTAAGGGAGGATGTTAGAGTTTGTTACTGATTTGTTTGTATTCCCTATTAATAAGGGATATTCTGTTTGAATTTGATCTATTCTCTAGGCCTTGACCACGTTTGTAGGTTTGTTAAACGTGGGTTGCTTTCAGTTTTATTTGTAAGGCTATTTATAAGCCAATAAGTCTCTGTTCAATAACAAGACTATTCCACTAATTCTTACTTTCAATACACAGAGTTCCTAACATAATTTACTAATAATCCTCCTGCATCACATATCTTTACCTTTCTTTTTTTATATTTGGTGCTTTAGAGGGAATTTTAATCACTTGGGTTCCGTGTAAAGCAAACACTATAAAGATCAGCGTTCATTACAGACACCATACTAATAAGGGGAACAATTAAATCCACAAAGTCTTCATCCTTGGCTAACTCCAATATTAGCAAGATGATATGCACATTGGTTTCATTCCCTCGAGTGTGCAAAACCCTGATGTTGCATTCCTTCATAATGTGTTGACAGTTGTTCACCAACACTTTGTGAGGATGGGAGGCTGCTGCATTTTCAGACAGCAGAAGATGATGGGTCTCTAAGGAGTCCGTCTCCAGGATGCCTTTAACTCCCTTAATCTTGATCAATTGGAGCCCTTTATATGCCTTTTAGACTGGTTGTGCGATTGATTCTGCCCGAAGAACCTGGTAATCCAACCTCCCCTTTCGTCTCCTAGAATCCCTACAATTCTTGCTGGTCCATGATTGCCCTTAGAACTTCCATCCGTATTCAGCTTGAAAAACCCTGCTAGTAGAAAATTCCAACCAATCAGTCCAGGAGATTTACTTAGAGTTTGAGCTTTTAGTCTTTCAAAAACAACACAGTACTCTTTGACCTGAGTTCTAGCCAGTTTTGCAACATTATACATTCACCATTCTTATCTTTACATATATTCCATATGGCTAATACGAATTGCTGGGGCTTGGGAATGCCAAAACAGAAAGAATTAGCTTTAAGTTTACAGTACTTATGTACCCAGTCTGTGAGGCTGAGTTCAGCATCCCTCTCCTGGTGGGTGAGGAACTTATCCCATACTTGTTAAGCTGTGCTACAAGTTCTTAAAATATGGAGGGTAGTTTCAGAATGATGACCACATCTTTCAAAGGATGGATCATTGTTCATATTCCTTTGATATCTTAAATTATTGGAAAGGATTCTATCATGTCCAACTGACCACATAAAAATTTCAGTTTTTGTGACACTCCAACTTCCAGATCCATTCCCAGGAATCCATATTAGATATAGAATCATTTTCAGTCAACAGAAACTCATAGAAGGCTCTTGAAGAAAACTTACCATTACCTGAAGTTCCTCAATAGGGGCAGTCGTCCTGATGAGAGAACGGCTCATACCTTTACCTTCTGACATAATAGATCATTGAGAATTTATTCTCATTCACAAACTTGTCGGGATTCTGTGTTTATTTCATTTGTCATTCTCAGGAATTGAAAAGAAGATGGTTTTGAAAGGGATTTTATCTTTGTAAATACAGGAAATCTACTGTTCTACTAATATTCTTGTGAATTTATAAAGCATTTACGCATTTTTGAAGATGAGAGAGCTGTCATTTAGCCAGAGCTGTATAAATAACGAGAGAGTTAAGCATCAGACCTCGGGAATGATCATGCGGGCAATCAACTACTAAAATAACTGAAATCGTTTGTCTTATCCATAAAAGATGGAACAATCCGTGGCCCTTATATATGATAGTACAGAGTTCCAGCAGGTTTGGTTTCCAATAAAATAGCAACATACACAAGCCGTGAGGCTTTAAAGCCTGAAATTCGACACTATGCAGCACGTGCAGATAATTTATGTATGACGAGGATAGCCACGGCCAGTGATCCAACAAATGCCATGCCGTTGAACAACAAGAATAAACCAGTTATGATCGACTCTTGTTTCCGGAGGGCACCACCTCCCTCACTGAAAGTGGCACCAGCAGCCGTAAAAGCAGCTTGGTAGGTTCTGGTTGCTACATTAACTCCGTCATTGAAAGTGGCACCAGTGGCGGTAAAAGCTTTTCGGTAGGTTATGATAACTAGCAAGGTGGCCATCAGTAACACAGCCATCGTGCTGAAAGAAGCAGCATAGCTGTTGGCACCACGATTGGCAAGAACTCTCATTTTCAAGGCTCCAGCTTGACGGAGGATCATTTCAATTTCCACATCAATCATCCCAGTATATGGCAGGACACTTAGGATGTCCAGAGCGGTGAAGAAACCGCCACCAGTTGTGGCATTCACGTCAACCTCATTGCAAGTGAGTAAAGCTTTTAAAGTCTGCAAGAAAGATGAAGTGTGCAAACATAAGTCTGGTTACAGTAAAAAGAGCACAATGATACAATAATATCTTGTTTACAAAGCAAAACACCAATCCTACAAAGTAAAATTAATGAGATGACATGTATTCAGCTGCAAAGAAACATGGAACAAATAAATAATCCTGTTTCAAATTGTAGTTCTCTATATAACACCTAAGCTACATTACTTGGGATCGATAAAACTGATCTCTTATTAACCATTGCGCTTGAAAAATTCAAGAAAGATGTTCATTGGCATCATCAAATATGTCACACCACCAATTACAGAACATGCAACAATCTATAAGAGGAAACCAAGATTTTTAAACGGTTTAGTATGATCACTCAATACATTAAGAAACCCTGGCAGTTTGAATTGATGCCAATGCATCAAGAATAAACAAACTCCAATGTTGATGTTGTACATTGGTGAAGTCAGAGCAGAGCAAATTCAGATTAATACAAACTTTTCATAACAAAAAACTGAATTGCTACTACATCAATTTGCCCAGAATTCAATCAAACAGAAGCTATTTCTCCTTAAATTTTTTGATCCTCAATGATGATTAGGTTTCAGAATAAAAATGGAATAGTGAAAAATTACCTGGATTTGTTTTGTTGAAACTGCCAGATGCAGAGGCGTCTTGCCATCGGAATCCCTCCCGTTAATGAGATAGGCGTAGTCTCTATTTCTCCCAAGCCATTCCACCAAGAACCCGACTGCTCCAACCTGATTATACAAAACCGCGGTGTGAAGACAGTTGTTCCTCGTTACAGTCAGCACTTTCACTGCGTCAGGGCATGCTTCGAGAATTACCTTCATGGCCTCGAACCTGCCTCTCCTCGCCGCCGCGTGGAGAGGTGTTCCGCCATGCTTGTCCTGTCGAAGACATTCGTTTTTATTAGTCTCTATTAGGGTTCTCAGGTTCTCAAGATCTCCATTGCTGGCAGCCACATGTATTGGAGTGTTCCCATAATCGATCAATTCCTCTTCACATACAAAGCCATCCATCGTTTCAGATAAAATGCCAATCTCAACGACCAGAGGTGCAGAACCACAAAACTTATCTCCGACCGATGAGATCTCCGGCGACTCCTCGACATCTACTGGGGAAGACATAATTTCTCAAAAATTGAAGTCTGGAACAGCACCAACAACAGAAGTACAACAATTTTCTCACAACAATCAAACACAATGAAACCCTTGACTACTTTTCTTGGGACGGAGAGGAATAGAGTGTGAACGCAGAAGTCTAAATGGATCCAAGCCTACTACTACTAATCTATTCCGCGTAAAAACTTGAGGGTAACCTTGACTTTCTTCTACTCCCTCACTCATCACGATTACGCGGTAAGTGTCTTTCCTCTTTCCCTAAACACTTACACCCCCTGTGACTGTTGTTAATTTGAAGAGATATGTTGTAGTTTTTGAATTTGCCCTAACATTCTACTAGATGTTGCCAAAAACAAACGGAGACGGCACACTAACACATATTCCCTGTTTCAAAAATGTGATATGTCAGATCTATCCTCCCCTCACCTAATCGCTCTTTATTTTGGCTTCTTCTCTCCGGCACATGAAAACACACGTCACCATCATCTGCCACTTACTGTTCTTATTCTCAGAACTTCTTAACTTGTTGAACAACTGCTCAAACTAACTCACTGTGGATCCTTGTACTCTGCCCTTGGAACTCAAACTTTGATGGTCCGAGATGAAAGTACAAAGAATATTCACTCTAGAATCTAACAAGTTTAGTGATTAACCACCTAAAGGACTATTTTATTATATTTAGTTATTAGTTAATTACATATTATTTTGTGATAAAATTTATTAGATTCCTTATTTTTTTTGTTTGATATTTTTTTAGCTGTTTCATTTATTTTCAAATAATTTAGTTGATTTAAAATAATATTTTATAAAGCAAGTAAAACAAACACTAGAAGGAGAATCACAGTTAATAAGGATTGAAAAGTCAAAATTTTTGAAGATAATGAAATAATTTAATCCTTATGAGAGTCTTATGAAAGTTTTAGTTAGAAAAAAAACTTATTTAGAGTTAAATTAGAAAAATATTCTAACAGATAAGGTTTTGACAAGTTTTCAATATTTTGATCATAATTTTTTACCTCCATATCTTATTAACTTGATTTTTGCAGGGTTAAAAAGAAGATTTCAAGGATTACAAAATTATATTTTCATGAAAATTTTATGAATCATCCTTTAACTATGTGAAAATTGAGCTTCAACTCTAGGTAATTATGGTATCGCGTGCCCTCAGGATTTAATACATGTGATTTGACATAAAAAGACTTCTTTTAAAAAGTGATTTCTCATAAGCCAACCCTATATGTCCTACATATATCTAGACTTTAGTATAAATAAAAACTCTCATATGTTGAGAGGGCATTTTCTTTTCTAGTCTATTGCATTTATTTTATGGCCGACTAAAAACTCAACTAAAATTAGGCGAGATATTTTCAATGAAGGACAATATTATTTTTGATTCAATATTCTTTTAATGCATGATTTATTCTTTTAATTTAATTCTTGTCTTTTAATAAATTTTTTACTCTGTATAATTTTTTGATTCATTGTGTCACGTACATCGAATACTTGAGATACTGTGGGAGTCAAATAATTAGTTATTCCATACTTGAATTAATTAATTAAATTTTTTCATAATATAGTTGATTTATTATTTATAATAAAATTATGGTTTACCTTTTGAAAAACTTAATTTATCATAGACTTCGAATATGGCAAATGTTTGTGATCTACGACTAAATTCCTAAATTTATTCAATTAAGCTATTCATTATAATTTTGGATGTTTTCAATATTATCACCTGCAAAATATTTTGATCGGGATCACTCCTCAGCTAATTCTCAATTTAGTTCAAAAACTGAATTATAAATAATTGTTGTGTGAAATTGAAAAGATATCCCGATATTTTAGTATTTTCTCATATTCTTTTAAAACCAATTTACTGTTTTTCAAATCTCTGCAACAATTTTTCAAAGCATTTTTGTTTTACTTTTCTTTGCACTCTAAGTTTGCACAATTTCCTGTGGTTCGACATCGGACTTCCGAGTTACATATTAATTTGCAACAACCTACACTTAAGTAATTAATTTTAAAATTGTAGTAAATTTTTGGCGTCTTTGTCTGGGATATCGTTGGAAGACCAAGAACACACCGTCGTATCTATTGAGGTTTACTTTATTTGAGATTTGTCAAATATGTGGTAAATTAGTTCCACTCTTTTTTTTAATTTAATTTATTGTACTTTTCTTCTACCCTTTTTTTATGCACTTTGGTTTCTTGACCATAAAAGACATTTAGTTACAGTAGATTTACATAATTTTTTTTTGATAGATTTTTTGATTTTCATGTTCACTCTCATGCACTTAGCATGATGGTTGATGATGGTCATAATGATAAGGAGATTGAATTCCAGAATAATCTATCCATGTGTACTTTGCGTGAATATTAGTTCCCCTTCATGCGTTATTTTTCCTCTACAAGCCACTAATTTTATTTTCAAATTCAGTATGATTCATTTACTTCCAAAATGTCATGGCTTAGGGTCGGATAACCCTTATTTGCACTTGACGGATTTTGAGGAAGTTTTTATCGTTTGCCATGAGCAAATTCGCACTGAAGACGTGGTTAAGTTAAAGTTTTTTCCTTTTTCTATCAAGGATAAGACTAAAACTTGATTTAATTCTTTGACACCAAGTCAATAGGCATATGGCATGAGATATAAAAAGAGTCTTTGAAAAAAAAAAAAAATTCATGCACCACACTAATGCTTTGAAAAGACAAATCGTGAATTTTGCTCAAAAGAATAATAAAACTTTTTATTAGTGTTGGGAACGGTTTAAAGATTTACTTGCATCTTGTCCGCATCATGACTGTGAAAGTTGGTGCACCATCAAGTTTTTGTATGAGGGTTTAACTTCTCAAATGCGCCAATTCGTAGAAGTGATGTGCAATGATGAATTTTTTAACAAGGAACCCGACGAATCATTTAAATATATTGACTAACTAGCTGAGAATGTTCAATCTTGGGACACCACTACCCCTCTTGATAGCACATCTAAGGCTAAATTTTTTACTGCTTCATCTAGTGGAGGCAAGTGTCACCATAGGGAGTTGGATGGCCTTAGTTCCGGGATAGATAATTTGTTTAGGAAAGTAAAAGCCACAGAATTAAGGAATGTCAATGAAATCAAATCCGTCAAAGATGAAAAAATTTCTAAAATTTGTGAGGTCGTGGGAAACCTAACACATGGATGTCCAACTATTCTTGCTCTCAAAGAGGTGCAACATGATCAAGCAAATAAAAATTATAATAATGCACCACCAGCTCCTCCTCCTCCTCCTCCTCCATGGCCTTCTAATTTTATACCTTATACACCACCACATAGGGAGTTTCTTGAGGAAACATTGCACAATTTAATGGAAGTACAAGTTGTCATCGATAATCAAACCTCACCTATTGACTACTACATTGAGCAATCAAGTACAGTATAACTCTTCCATCCAATCACAACAAGTTCTGCAAGGCTAATGCAGTGCGAGTGTTGCTTCCTCTGAACTCCAACCCAAAGATGTTCAATCCATTATAGCTCTTCATGGTGACGAAAGTAACAAAAATACCATTCCAACGAAGGCCCAAAAACTCGAGGAATATTCGAAACCAAAAAATGATGTGATTCATATGAAGAAGTTCAGTGAGGTTAAGGATACCAATTTGGTTGAGATACTTGAGAAAGATCCATTTAATATGTTATATTTTTTAAATCCTTTACAAGTTTTCTTTGTTTACTCTTGTGATGATAAAATTTGAGAAAAATTTGAAATTAAATACATTAATCATTCATTGTCTGCTTCACACGTGCGATGGATGAATGAGAAGAGCTTGAGAGTTAAACATTTACTACCACATCAACATGTCATGCCATTGAAATTAGATGGTCGAGCATTGAAGTCCGAATTCAATCCAGATTGATTGTTAGATTTTTTTTTTTTTTAATAGTAGTAGTAGGCTTTAGCTTAGATTTTATTTGTTTTATTTATATTTTTCTATTTGAGTTGTCATTTTATAGGTTTAGAGTTGTTGCGAGACTATGCACAACTATTCCTTTGATCTTTGTTTATTATTTTTATTGAGTATTATGATATTTACTTTTACATCGAGGACAATGTTGGATTAAGGTTGGGGTGTGGATGTGTTTAGTGTTATGACAATTTTTATTTTATTTGATTTTTATAAAAATTATATTCTATTTGAAAAAAATATCAATAATTTTTTTGTTGGTTATTAAATATTTAAATAATATTTTTTATGCATAAATTGACACTACAATAGGAATAATTTGTTTAACTTAAAATTTATAATTGTTTAAGTATCACATAAAACTTTATTCTATATTTATATATCTCATATCATATTCTTATAAAACTCACAGTTTATGCATTTTAGAATTTATCAAGTTTGAAATTTGTTAGACATTTTTACCTTGAGAACTTAAGACATATAGTTGAGATATATAAAAACTCTGGTGAGTTTTAATCTAATATTCCTTGAGGGATTATTTATATTGACTAAATAAAGAATATTTTTATTTAGCTAATCTTCTTGAATATTCTAATTACCTTTGTTTTGATCAATGCCAATACTATGAATGACTGCTTAACTAAATTATTTGCATGAAGTAATATGTTAGAACTCTTGAGATATGGTTTTACACAATCTTTGTTCTTATTTGAGCCCTAACCTTATTCTTTGAATATTATTATCTTAGAAGTCGTGATTTATTTTAAAATCAAATTTATTGTTTTTCAAATCTCTACAACATTTTTTCAAAGCAATTTTCTTTTATTTTTCTTTGCGTTCTACGTTTGCACAATTCCTTGTAGTTCGACCTCGAACTTTTGATTTATTTATTACTTCACAACAACTTATATTTGGGTGATCAATTCTAAAATTGTAGTACTTAGGTCTTAGGTCCAATCAAATTGATAAGAACCTAAATATTTTTCTAAGAACAATCAAACACTCAAGGTGGGAAACAAAGTTTTTGCTATATTTTTTCAAGCTTTAATCTGGATGTATTTTTGTTTTGGTATGCCTAACTTTACTCTCGACTTAATTTGAGAATCATATTGGTGACTTGATCTGTTCTAGTTGTTAGAGGAAAATTGTGTCCGGGACTCAAGATGATCTAGTAACTACAATGAATTAGTATTTAGATCCCCTCCAATATTTTTTTTTTCAATTTTTTTCTTGGATCATCCATCATTAGTGATTTAGGGGCCGTGGCAGAGCCACTCTAGGATGTGACCACCCTCCATTTTTTTGTCTTACCATTACATATTATATATATATATATTAAGTATTTCTAACTATGCCTATCCTATTATTTTTTT